CTCGGTGAAGAAGGGAGTAGGGCTGTAGCTAGCAGTGAGTGCAGCTTAGTGAGCTGTGCTGCTCACTGAGTATCACTCATGGAAAAGCTAGACTTCCTGCTGCATATGCAGACAATGTGAATGAGTGAGCCTCTTGTCTTTCTGGTAGGAAACTCACCCATGACTCAGCCTTACACTCACTTCACAAGCATGCATGAATTTCCTGATGGCTCTGGAGGACTGAGGGCCTTGAATAGCTTAATATATATGGTCCCAATTTGAAACAAGATTTTTCTAGTCCAAGAAGTGGCCACACCCTTTACTTGAGAGTGAGCCATCAGGCTCTTCTTGGATATAAGTTCTGAGTTGTGATTATGCAATGAGAAGAGCATGGAAAATACTTTCCATGTAGCTCTGGCTATTTGACTAAGTGCAGCTGCATGTTTGAGCTGTTCAAAGGTAAATGGGAAACCACTACCCCAAGTGGTACCATGGACAGACTTGTGAGGAGAGAATAAAATGAAGCTGTAGCAAGAATGCACTATGAACACACACTATCTGCAAACAAGTGCTGCTTTTCAAAGCAGTTTCTGCATGGCCTACTTACTCCCTTTGGGCAGTAACTGGGAGCAAAAAAGGTTTAAAAAACTACTGCTGAAAGTTCCAGATGAAGTTCAGTAAGAGGCCTCAGCATCCCACTTCATCCTTAAGAAATAATACTGAAGTGTCCTGCAACATACTGTATCTCTGCTAAGGCAAGACCAGACCAGGTTGTTGCAGGGGAAAGGTGCAGTCAGTGGTGTTTTGCTGCTTGCGTGTTGAGTTTAACTTATACTTTTAGTTTTTAAATACAATGCTACTCTGCAGTAGCCTTGGACAATCCAGGTGACAGTGACTAGAAATTCAAGTTGTGATTGGGAACATGAGACTAGCTGGAATACCTCTTGTGCTGAAGCAAGGGGTGCAAAGCAGTTCTTTAAAGGGCAGTGAGTTCAGCTTCCTTGCTTCAGCTTCAGATACTTGCTGCAGTATCTTCCCCTCCCAAGAACTGGTATATAGGTATACTGTGATGAAAATAACTTGCGTAGCCTAATTTGAAAGATGTTCTTTAAGGCTTGGCTCTTTGAAGAATATGTAGGGAGGATCTCCACGTTAGGTAAACTTTCTCTTTAAAGGAAACAACACATGGTCCTCAAATGCAAAGTTATACCAGAATTTAACTGGGTCAAATTGTAGTTTGCCCTTGTCATTACAGGTGATGGAAGACAAAGCACATGCTTTGTTATGGTTAAATGTAAGGAGCCTGGGTTCCTAGAGCACAAGTGCTCCTACTGGGAGGAGAGAACCCTAGTCAGGATGGGAACTGGCTTGGATCTTTCAACAGGCAAGGACAGGGTGTTTTAGTCTTTAACAAGCCTAGGTATAGCAAATAAACATTTTGTTCTAAATGGAATGGGTATGAGTATCCATGCTAAAGCCTAGGGCATCTGCTCTGCTCTCCCATGAGTGTTCAGTAATGACACTTCATAGAGAGCTTGGTGGGTGCATATCTTCTTTGGCTTTTTTTGTGTGAGGGTGTGAGGCCAGTATTGCTATGTGCCAGGCAGTAGCACAGCATTCACTCTTTCAATAAACTCTGTGGTCTACTTCTTGCATGAATAGAATTGGCTGCTTTGATCCAATGACCTGCAAAGATGCCTGTAAGAGAGAAGTGGGTAGATAGCCAACTGACTTCAATGCTTGGTAGACTTGATGTACACAGCAGACAAAAAAAAAAACCCATAGGTTTCTTTTGGGAATAAGGGTTTCAGGAAGAAGTTCTCCCCTCGGGCAATGACTGCAGTCTGTGTCATTTGGCTATGAAATAGCTGGGATCTGTGCCTTGCTGTCAAACAAGAAAAACAAGATGTTTTCTGCTGCAGGCCTGTTACATAGCTTGCTTATAATGGGCTGGCCAACAGGAAGAAAAGTACTTCCTTGAGTACAGCAATTAAAACACATAGCTGGAATAATTAAGCTTAATGAGAGAGGACTAACATGAAAGAAGGGCCAAGGGGTCACAGGGAGTGGACATATGAACTGTGCTCCATCAAACTGCAGTGGAATAGTGACACTCCTTACCTCCATCCAGGGGTTCTGAAAGCGCTGTTGTGCACTTGGGGAAGTGTATGTCATGCACGTGAGGTGCTTAACCACCCACATGTCTCTGATCTCTTGCAACTCCAGCTAGCCATCTGCTTTCCCTTCTTTCCTTGACCTGAATGAAAACTAAGTCCCCTCTGGAATTATTCCAGTAAGAATATGGTAATAATTTTAATGTTTATTTTCTTAACTGTTCATCCATTAAAACAAGCTAAAAAATTACATCTATTTTTTTTACCAATGCTGACAAACTGGCATAGCAGCTCCTCTGTTGCAGCTTTCAGCCACCAAAGCAATTGGCTTGAGGAGCATACTGTTGAAATCCTTGCTGGATTAATTCTGTTGTGCAGGTCCCTGGCCCTTGGTGAAGGGTGGGAGAATCTGACCTGGTGAAGATGTCTTTCAAGATGCTTTTTCCCATGTGGTATTGTTTCTTTCTCACTACCACTACAGTTCAGATTTAAACTTAGCTATCGCTGAGAGCTTGGCTTTGGCCATTGGTTAAGTCCCCTTTGGAGCTGGCTGTCACTGGGTCTATCTGATGTGATGGCAGCTTCTGGTTCTCACCAGAAGCCACCCCTACTGCCTCCCCAGTAACAAAACCTCTATAAGAATGAGCTAGATGAGTTTGAGAAACTTGAAAACACCTGAGGAGATAGTGGAAATGGACATCCACCTGAAATGCAGATTTTCCTCCTATGTTCCAGGTTAGTACACAAAGTGGGGAGGCATGGGAGCTGTGCCATGCAGATCATCACAATGTGGCCATGGCCGTCTGTGAGTTTTACACATGTGTAAAGGCAGGCTCTGTGAATGTCTTGTGCTAGTACCTCTGACAGTGCTGGGGTGATGGTTGTACCTTGAGGTAATGGGCTAGAAGGGAATGCATAGGGAAAGGTGGACTCCTACTATCCTGGTGGCACCATCTGCCTGGCTTACAGGAATTGGAGCATTTGTCATGGATGTAACAAAGGTATAAACAGACTTTAGGGAGTGCTGAAGCTAAGCATTAGGTCCAAAGACAGAAGGAGGAGGAGTTTTAGATTAGGTTTGGGTCATCTCCCCTCTACCCTTGCTCAGGGAGACAATGAAGTCTGGTATTTCAAATTCCTTTGTTTCTAGTTCCTCAGAGAGACATTTGGGGGAAAGCAAGGACACACCCCATGAACAGTACTGTATCTGTTAATCCTGCTGATAAGGGAAACACAATGGGCAGTTTTAGCACCACTTAGCAGGATTGCTCCAAAGGAGGCTGAGCCCACACTGAGCTAGTGATGATGGGTTGAGGACAGGGACAGGAGGCATCTCCCTACACTTCAGGTGATGGCCAGCAGCAAGCTAACCTGTCTGGAGCCGATGGTGGGGATGAACAATTAAAGTGAGGGGTCATAGGAGCAAGATAAAAGGAAAGGATCAGAGGTATGGCTTGCTTGCTCCAGTACAGGCAGAGGTGGTGGCAGGTCTAAGGTTGGATTTGATCCAGCTGGGGAGTGGATCTCACCTCACATAGAAATGGATGCTGTGACTGGGCCATGGTGTCTCATGACCCCTCCTGTGGGCACTGACCCTGGAGGGACCATGAGAGAAGCTCATCAGGAAGCAATGCATTCCAGGGATTCCTGGTTTCAACAAACCACAGGCCTTTGCAACAATTTCCAGTGCTTCCTGATGCCACCTTTGGTGCGGCAGGCTATGGTGAACTCCTTAAGGAGGTACCCACTGAGTCCTGAGCTCAGACAAGTTATTACTACCAGCCCCAGCTTGCTGTTGCTTAGGAACAGGACATAAAAGTTGCATATTTATTAGCCTGAACTCTAGAGACTGCTTCATTTTGCAAAGGCAATCAAAAGGTGTTAAGCAGTTAAACCACTAGTCTAGAAATAATGATATGTATAAATGAAGAGCTATTTGGCCAATAAATTATGAAGCCTGCAGCTGTTTACATTTAAGATAAACTTTTCCTCTTGCTCTCAAGCATTACATCCTCAATTAACTGGCATAAAGAAGTCTCAAGAATCCCACTGCCACCCTACTTGCAAACTGTAACTTAGGTAGTGGCACAAACATGACCATGTGGACTGGAGATAAGCAGCAAAAAAAGACCAGAGATGATTATCAGATAGCCACAGCTGCAAGGTGATTGAAGACTGACCATTGCACCCTGGGCAAAGCTGACACCCTTTCCACCTTTGCAGACACACACAGTGGAGAACTGCTGAACTGACCTAGCCCGAGGCAAGCCAGTGCAACACCTTCTGGCAGCCAGTGGGACCACTGGAGCTCACCCCTTCCCAGCAAGCCTTTAGATCAGCTGCAGAGTAATAATGTTGGAAGAGAAGGAGCCTGGCAGAGTGCTGCTCACAGGCCCTGTGCAGCTCTCAGAGGATCGGCTGGACTGCCTGCATGGTACTACCCATGCTCTGCCCCTAAAAACACACAGAACCATGAACAGTCAGAAAAGCCAATCCCAGCAATGCATTGCTGCATCTTTGTTCTAGGCTGGACCTTGGCACCTTGTTAACATCATTACCCTGGCTGTACTCATAGGATTAGCTTGCTTCACTAGCAGGGCGAAACAGAGAGACTTTCATCCTGCCTTGTGCCACTGCTACAAAGAAAAACCGAACATTTTTAATATTTTCTTTTTACTTTCAACATGTGGAAAAATAATCCAGGTATTGTTCCACAAACTTAGAACTTTGAGGATAATAAGGGCTCACAGTAAGAAACTACTGCAAGACCTCAGTGCCAGACAATGAGGGATAAAACTCATTATTCATGTGGTGGCAGTGTTCCTGACGTGTAACAGAAAACTTGGATTTTCAGGAGGATATAGCTATATTCCCCAGAGAAGTTCAGAGGCTCAGAGGTGTGTGGTGTTGGTTTTACACAGAAAAATTATATTTTCATGGTTAAACAGCCTTGCAAAATCAACTGCTATTTATGAAGCATAAATCAAGGGGAATGTACACATCAGTATTTTAGGAGAAAGCAGGCTGAGCCAGGAATTTTCTAACTGACAAATCTTTCTGCAACTCTAAGGGATAGGAACTCCATGTGGCTGTTCTTAGTTAATTTCCCAATCATCACTTTACTTGAAACAAGAGATAATTATTTCACTGGACTTAAAACAATTCAGTATTTTAGGAATTGAAAGCCCTCCGAAAATTCCTCAACAAAAAGCTACCACACAACAGCACACCTCTACACAGTGCATCTGAAGCCTACTGACAAGAAGGTCCCTTTTTTGGTTTACTTCTTTATGTGATATGCAGTGGTATTAGACCACAGATCTTCCTCAGTGGCCAATGTAAAACTACAGCACGGAAGCTTACTCAAATTGTCAATTCATTCTCCTTTGAAAACACTATAAAGCTACCAGAATCTCTTCCCTGCTTGTCCTAAGAGTCATTATTTTCCCAGTGGCCAGCTGATGTGCATTTCAGGGTGTGTTTTGTCAAGTCCACTCAGCAAGTATTGTCAATCTATATCTTAAATAAATGATCTATTTTTGTTGACATACAGAGCATCTAATCCTGGCACTGCAAATATATTAAAGCTGCTTGGGATATCTCTTCAAGGATCAGTAATGAAATCTTCAAACTAAAAAAGAAGTCCTCCACAGTGACTGAAAATGCATAATGATCACCTTCAATGCCTGTCTGTATCCCATAGTAACACGTCCTTGTTATTTTTCAGAACATCTAAGATATTTCATATTGCCAATCTGTGTGTCTCCTTTGTTTAGCACACTGTGTGTGCTGGACACCAATTTAACACAGTAGGGCCATCATATTCATCTCACCTTCCAGGAGAGCCAGGGTGAACACTATAGCAAGGTCAGCTCCAAGCTTGGACAACGATGACAAGTTTCTCAGGGAAATTAGTAATCTATCCATATCACCTGTATTGAGATCTGCTGGGATAAACAAGTCCTTGTAATATTTTAGCTCCTCTGCGTTAACCACAAAGAAGTGAGAGTGTTTCACAAATAGAACTATAACATAAGCAAAGTATACATTAAAGATTTCTTTTTCCTTTCCATATTCCCAGAATAACTGAGATAGTTACACTGCTTAATGGGGAAAAAAAAAAAAAAAAAAAAGCCACCTAGAGAAGAAGCTGGGATCCCCAAGTGCTGTTAGCTAGTCCCCAAGCTTATTCTCTGCTCCTTGATATGGGTTAAAAAAATCCCCCTTGCACAGCTCTGGGCCAAATCAATGGGTAAAAATTAAATGTGCATTCAGTTAGCAAAGCTTTTCAAACTGATTTTCCTTGCTACAAGCCTGTTCATAGAAAGGTTCAAGCTATTATCTAATCTGTTCCAGTTTTGATTTTCAGCAATTTTAAGGTATTTTGTTTTGTGTAGCTCTGGCAAGCAGTTCTCAACTTCTTCAAGAGCAAAGCAAGTGGAATATACTTAGACTTACTAGCCAAATTATTAACAGAAGTTACCATCACCAAACGTCCAGCAAAATGATTGAAACATACTGATCATATGATTTCACAAGTGAATTAAAAGCATCTAACAAAAACACATTCTCCTGTGCCAGTCTCCCAGGAATATCTGATCTTCACACTTTTACAACAGCTTTTCCAAGAGTTTCTCCCTTTAACATTCCTATAAAAGCCATTGGCATGTTCTCAAATCCTTCAGTGACTTGTTCATGGCACTTCACTTTTCCCTGTCAAAAGTAAGAAAGAAAATAGCTGAATTTTCATCCACAAAAACTAAATAAATTGCAGCAATATTTTCTCCAGCATATATATTTCATTTGAAACATGCAAGCTGGCATGCACCAGGATAACTGCAAAACTACGTGGGCTCTTGTGAGGATCTGCTTTTGTTGCAAAACCTTCTGCTTTGAGTCAAAACAGAAAGTAAAAGTCACTACTGTAAAAACATACAAGGACACATTTATTGCTACTTTGTCCCCAAACAATTGACAGGTAGGGGATCATTTCCCCAAAACCAGACCTGTCTCTACCCATACAGAAGTACAGAATTGCAAATCCCATGATCAAAACCTGACCCATCCCAAAACCACATGTTTCTAAAAGCTAGAGCCTCTTAGCCTTTATTGGTCACACTCATAAACTTCTCACAGCCATAAACTTGGTTACTAACTCAGCCTCCACCTAGAAAAAGAAAATATAATAAATTCCCTATTAAATCCCTTCAAAGCCCAGCTCCTAATACTATAAATTCATTCTTGCCAGTAACTTCAGCACAATACTACAATGGAAATCCTGACCCATACTACAAATGACTGAATGAAAGATACAGGAATTACTCTAACTGAAAATCTTCATTATCAGGTAAGTGTTTTGAGGCATGTTTCTGGGAAATTTATTCTCTACAGGTATGAAGCATGTATTCTGGAAGCATGCTTCTTCAAAGCCTACATGTATTCTGGATTATATGTGAGCCTACAAGCTGATATCTCATCTCAAAACAGAAGGGGTCAGGCTATACTGAACTTTATTAATAGTTTAAGTGTCTCTAGGATCAAGGCAGGGAGAAGGAAAGTATCATGCTGGGACCTCACCTAAACAGCTATGACACCTCTCTTGCAAAGATGGACTCTACAGTATGAGTACACCTTATGAACAAGTGCCCCTTCCTTCCTTACCTCCACTACCCACTTCAGCAGGGCCTGCAGGCCTTCCTCCCGGCGGCTGTTCCATCGGGTCACAAGAAACCCTTCCATTTGAAGCTCTTTGTAAATCATGGGCATCTGCATATATGGCCCTGCAAGAGAAAAGAACCAGCAAGCCACCTGTAATATCACTTTCATTTAGAGTAAGTCCAATGCATAAAGTGAGCTTTTAGCCAGCAGAGACCACTGAATCACTTTCTTTCAGCCAGGAGCAACAGGTATTTTTTTCCAAAGAGAATTTCCAGCACAGAAGACCAAAGATTCAAAGACAGATAGTCACCTAGGGAGACAAAAGCCTGATCAAAAAAGCTGTGGAGGTAAACAATTCTGGAAACAATTTTATTCAGAAATAAAGTGGCCTCAGCTTCACCTGAGAGACTTAAGCTGTATCTCAAAAATACTGTTTTAACACCTTGTTTAATAGCCTGACAGGCTGTCATGCTCTAACTCTCAGAATTTAAGTTCTAAACTCTAGAAAAACAGTTTCCTCAGTCACAAAAATGTGTGGTAGTCTCCTCATTACCAAAAGCCTGTTCCATTTTTCAAAGTGATCTGACAGTCCAAAGCCGGTCAGCTACCAATGAGAATCAGTCCCCCTATTTCTTTTAGAAGGCAAATCTGGAAAACTTAATGCTACTGAAAATGAATATTCATTCAGCCACATTACTCAGCAGTTTTACTAGTAGCTGAAATCTTACTGAGGGGAAAAAAATGAGAAAGCTTAAGCTGCATCATCGAACAACCTGAGGGAAAACCATTATCTCATCTTAAAATACATACTACTGTATAAATGGCATCATGACACCACACCTGCCTTCTGCTGATCTAGATCTGCACAGGGCCATGTGGAGTGCTGTTTTAAGTATTTTAGCCACTCCTTTATTCCTAATCAGCCGACGTTCACCAGACAGTGTGCACAAAGGATGAGTGCATATACACACAAGGAGCATGGTCCCAGTGTCCCACAGCAGCTACACTTGTATACACTTAAATGGCACAGGGAAGTTAAACAGTAGATCGCTGTTATGTCTTTCTGCCATCAAAGAGAAAATAATTTTAGACACAATAAAGACCCTCACCTTTCTGAGGCACAGAGTCATTGTACTGAGAGATGGCGCCACAAACTGCAATCCTTCCATATTTCTTCATTTGGTTGATAGCAACACTGGCAAATTCTCCACCCACCTACAAGAACCAGAGCATGTGCAGCATTAGAGACAATCCAGTGTTTAGCATTGACTGTCAAAATCTGCCAACATTGCATTGTTGCACCAATAGGTTAAATCGGGGAAAGCAACTTCCATTACCCCAAAGACTTGGTGGCTGCAGAAACCCTTGCATTAACACAGTGCTATGAAGACTCAATCTCACTCTCTAAAAATTAGTTACGAATACAGGGAATTAGTTTTAATTCCAAATCTGTTTCCTGAAGCTTGATTTGGAAGCATCAGGCAGGACTAGCACATAGATCCCTCCTCCCAAGGGTGCTAAGAAGCACCAACTCTGCTTTTCCCACATACCAGTCTGCAATTTTTTTTTACATCACGGTGATATAAACATCTTAATTTATGGTTTTCATTTCCAAAATAGGGAACAGGTGTGAAAAGAAGCTTTTAATAGTGAAAAGCTGTGAGAAAATATACTGCTGTGCAGAACTCTGCACAAAAGTTAGAAGTGAGAATTAAGGGAATGGACATGACCATAAAACCTATTTAAGACCTCAGCAGCAGGGGACATGAAATTTGGAAGGCTAAGGCAAAGTGGCAGGAGTTCCTGCCAAAGAGACAAGCACCTTGCCCTAACACCAAACATTCCTTTCAATTGCCAGAGAAAGGCAAAACACCATGGCCTTCATCCCTGGATTGGCAGAAGCCTTCTGAAGGAAAGACATGCTAAAGAGGTGATGATGGCTTCCTTTAAACCGAGTAGCTAGTCAGGGAGGCTAGCTAGTATAGTTTAAGGCCAGTATATCCACTAATACCCCTGTGGCCAGGTATTATATTATTATCAGGTATAATACATATGTTAGGTATAGTAGGAAATAAAAAAAGACAGGGTTAGTTCTGTATCTTGAAAGTGAACTGACATGATTTAACTGCATTCATACTGTTAAATTTTCTTAGCCTTCAAAACAAGATGTTCGCGTTCAAACACCTATCAAGAACAGTACGTAGTCCCCATCAATTCCACCTATATTTGGGAGATGTCAGAAACTTTCTGAGGGCTGCTCCAGTAGTTTTGCAAGTGGGTCTTGCTAATGTTTTCTTTACAGTTACCAATTCAGCCCCCATGACTGTGGGAGCTGAATTGGAGGAGCCAATTGGATTTGACATGTGGAGCCATCCACACCCATTCTCCTTTCAGCAATAAAAGAGAACTGCCTGTGGTGGAAGGTTGGGCCAGGAATGGACAGGATCAGTTTCATATTGCTATGACTGTCACTTCCCAAAATGTGCCATGCTTTTCAGAAAGTGAAGCAAAACTTCTCTCTCTCCATTCATAAACACTGCCAACAATCCAGCTTTGCCTTTTGGGTTTGTTCTTTCTATTACTGCTCAAGTCAGCTGCAGAAATATGTGTGGGAAGGGAGCAGAAAAGCAGTAAACTCCTATAGAGACACTGCTTAATTAAATAGATCTCCATATTGAAATCCTGGTGTAGACTTCAATTAGATGATTACAATATTGAGTTCCTTCTACAGTTTAAAGAAAATGACAGCTGCTCAAGGCAAGGCCTTCTCTCTGAACTTACATTGTCAAAGAAACAGTCGTAGCCATCAGGAGAGGCTTTATGCAGTACTTCATCCAGAGATTTAACAGTCTTGTAATTAAAGACTTCATCAAAACCTATTTTTTTCAGATAGGCAACCTTGTCATCTGAGCCAGCACAGCCAACCACTTTGCAACCCTGCAAGGAAAGGAGAAAAACATTTATAAACATGACCTGACAACACAGGCTGACACCCAGTGTGCTGGGTGAAGGGCTCACCCTTAAAGTAAGGCTGTTGTCAGATATGAGCTCCTGAAACTTCCAGCTAGATTTGTATGTTTTCAGCAGTTTTTCCATCTCAAGACCCTAGTGTAGGCATGCCTTTGGGGATGCTTGTCCTACTGATTGTTCATGGTCTTGTTGCCCTATTTTACAGCTATGTCTTCTCAGCAGCAAGTAAGATCAGTTCAAGCCACTCACCCCAATTTTAGCGAGCTGCCCCACCACAGAGCCCACAGTGCCAGCTGCAGCATTAACCAGTACTGTCTCTCCTGGCTTCATCTTGCAGACCTCCAGCAGACCAAAATATGCAGTGAGGCTGCAAAGAAAAGTTAAGAATGTTCAGTGAGAAGTAGAAGACAACAGATAAAGAGACACGACTTGACCACATTAATCCAAAATATTGTCACCATCAGAACAAGATAGTTTTCCTGTATTGTGAAAAACAAAACTTAATCCAGCCTTCTTAATCTGACTTTTTCACAGCCATCCCAGAAAAAAACCCACAGATACACTGCTGGGAAAGAGATTGTTACGACAGAAATCTCTTTAAGGTGGAAACAGCTTTCATTGTGCTCATTAGTTAAAAGAAGAAACACAGATAACTCTGCGACAACTCAGTACATACTGGAAGAGATAATAAACCCAACATAGACAGAAGTCAGTTGCCAGTTGGTAATCTAATCTACTAGATTAAGTTACACTCACCACAAATCAAAACTGGCAGAAAAAGATAAAAAGGCTGAGAAAAACTTTCTGAACTGATGAGTTCACTGCTCCAGAGGACTACTGTGCTATGGCTACTACGTGAAACACAGAATTGTTAAGGTTGGAAAAGACCTCCAAGATCACTGGGTCCAACCTTTGAGCAATTACCACCTTGTCAACTAACATTTGTTAGCACCAAGTACCACATCCAGCTGTTTCTTGAGCACTTTCAGGGACAGTTAATCCACCACTTCCCTGGACAGCCTCTTCCAATGCTTGACAACCTCTTCTGCGAAGAAATTCTTCCTGATGTCCAACCTGAACATCCTCTAATGCAGTTTGAGGCCATTTCCTGTTGTCCTGTCACTTGTTACCTGGGAGAAGACACCCCCATTTGGCTACAACTTCACTCGTAGAGAAGAGTAAGGTCTTCTTGAGCCTGCTTTTATCCATGCTAAACAAATCCAGCTTCTTCAGCTGCTTCTCATCAGACTTGTGCTCCAGGTCCTTCATCAGCTCTGTTGCCCTTCTCTGGATATGCCTCAGCAATTCAAAGCCTTTCTAGTAGTGAGGGGCCCAAAACTGGAAACCGTACTTCAATTCTCACCAGTGCACTAGTAATCTGTAGGAACCACTAAAGTAGCTCATTGACTGGCCCAGAATCCCACAGAATTCTAATTTCTAAATTTAAGCTCATTTTTAAATTCAAGCTCAGAGCTTCCCACATGGTCTCAACTGAAAGAGCTAACTGAATACCTCTATATGACATCTAGAAAAAACATGCATCTTGACTGATGCCAGAATGCAATCTGAGAAGTTTTCCAACACACACAATTTTACAATAATTTTGAAAGCCTTCCAGATCATTACTGTAAAGACGTAGATTTGTATTCCACGGACAGATTCAAGCGAGATCTCTTTGGTTGCTCTTGGGGGATCAGGTTTATTCAGGACGCAGAGAGGCTCTGCCTCGAGCTGCCAGACACAGCTCGGTGGCTGGGCCTCGGGTGATGGGGGAGGGGAGAGACAAAGAGGGAGCAGGGACTCCCGGAGGACGCTCCAGGAGGAGAAGGGAAGATCCAAGAGAACGTCCAGCCCCCCGGAGAGCCTTTATCAAAGGGGGCTCCAGGGTGGGCTGGAACAGGACCTGGGCCAATGGGGTCACAGACACCTGATGGTTCAGGGGAGGGTTACAGGTGGGGGTGAACCATACGTTCTGGGGGGTGAGATGGAACAGTCCATTTGGCTTTTGGACCCCGCTGTAGGTGAGGGTAATTGTCCAGCCAGTAGGGGGCGTTATATTCGTCCTGGCTGTACCATTGTGGTTCTTAATCATATTTATCTACCCTTCCCAACAATTACGACTGACAAAGTCCTGATCTCCCATAAAAACTACAGAGAATGAGGTAAGAAATGCAAGCAGACTGAGAGATTCTGATAGTACATACAGATTTGAAAGCTTCTGTCTGCTGCAGTTCAATTCAAATGACATCTATTTTGCTGCAGGATACAGCATCTGTCTTTTGCACTTTGGGGTTGATTCTGGAAATACAGTGATAGCAACAGAGCCCAATCAGTAAAAGCAGACTAGTCCAGGTGCCAGTGAAGTTTGAGACTTTCCACTGAGGTAAACACAGACTGAACTCGATTCTTTCCAGCTCTTCCTGGATCCTCCTTTGGACTTAGTACAGCTCCTCAAGGAGAGGCCCAATAATGTCCAAGGCAAATCTCCCCTGATGGGCCAAAGGATGGGCCAAGCTTCATGCCCTATACAGGGCAATGGCATCCAGAAGCATACCTTTATTGCCAGTGTGAATAGGCAATATGCTGGTAGAACAAGACTAATGTCAATACAAACAGGAAGAAATCTCCTGCACACCAAAATCCAGGGGATAGCTGCCTTTTCATCTCAACACTTACCCTGGCATGCCAACTGTTCCAAGAGCTAGAGATTTAGGGAGTGATTCTGGCCAGCTGGAAAGAAGGAGTTGTAGACCTTTCCCATCAGAGATAAAATGAGTTCTCCAGCCCCTGTCAGCCACAACAAAGGCCCCCACTGTGAAAGCAGGATTTTTGCTTTCTACAATCCTGTTTAAAAAGTAAAACAAACAAAACTCAAGCAAAACCACATCCAGGTTAGAAATCAATACTGGCTCTTCCATTCTTCCTATGATTCAGAAAATAAGTATTTCATGTCATTATTTTTAACCTGTAACTGCTGACGCTGTAGGTGTCAAGTGTCTTTCCTGAAATGTCTATAACCTCTTATCATGAGGAAAATACTGGCAAGATAATTTTTTATTCAGCCCCGCCCACAATAAACCAAAATTTCCCACACAACTGCCAACTGTCTCTTTGACCAGTTTGGTTTGAGATCAGACCAGGCTTCTGTGGGTTAGAATGCAGGAAAGAGGATGATGGAATTAAAACATGAAACAGCAAGGAGTTGCTGATTGGTTGTCTGTTCTCAGACAACCTGCACCTCATTTAAAAACTGAAGATCCTGAAAATGGAGCCACATGGGGTAATGAAACCAGACAAAAAGCAATATCTAAAATCAGGGAGATACCCACATCAGCAGTCTCTATGCCAAATGAAAATTCCACCTTCTTAGCTCAACAAGAAAACTGTCTTGCAAAGGGGTAGATAAAAAGCTTAGAATTATTAGAAACAGTTGACCTGTTCATCAGACTTGGTTGTTAATTTATCCCAATCCTCAATGTTTCTGCAGAGAAACACAAGAGTCAAAGGCCACAGATGTTTCTAGGCAGCAACTTATGGGCAGAACAGCAGGAACAAGACAACAGAGAAATATGTGTGCAGCTACATTACCACAAGCTTGGGAAAAGGGTGGATTTAAGGTTCTATAACTCTTTGGCTAGAGCTGTATTTTTGGTTATGTGGAGATATTTTCAGCTGGAGTATATAGCATGCATGGCTGCCAACAGACAGCTACCAGCACATGAGGTTTTAAAATGTGAAGTTCAAAATGTATGCCAAGTACAATGGTTAGTCCTTTATATTTGCAAAATTTGCCTTTGAAGACATTATCACCAGAGAAAACCTACAGATTTTATCATAGGTCTAAATGCTCTCCAGAAAGGTAAAAGAGATTCTTAGAAGAAAAACACATTCCAAACAGTTACAGGTAAGAATGTCAGTACCAGAAGTATGTAGACACAAGTCTAGGATGGGTAACATGAGCTGCAGATGTCTCCAGTGTCAGCACATTCCTGTTGTGATCTGCCAGGCACACTGATAACAGGAACTGAAGGTCTTACCTGGCAACCTGTGTGCCTATCATTATGTCGCCTTCCTTCATGATCCTTTGGCTGTAAGGTCTGCAACACAGGCACAGCTTACTGTGGGCAACTTTAATAATGCTCCAGACACACTACGAAGTAATGGCAACTGTTTGACCCAGGAAGAGAGTATCTATTGTTGACAGATCACAAATAGCTTGTCATTGTAACAGCATAACCAAATGTTTTCCAGAGCCAGGTACTTGGGCATCCTGGGCAGGAGTGTTGGAGGGATGATAGCATTAATCTTCCCAGCGTGGTCCATCACTACAAGAAGCCTGAGACCCAGAGAACTATCTCAGAATTTAGTGTCCACAATGCCTCGTCAAACTGCCCAGTCTCCCTGTGCTTCAACTACCACCTATTGGGTATATCAGCAATGTCCAACTTAAGAGTATGTGTCCTTAAGTACAAGTTTGCTAAGTTAAATTAAGCAGGAACTGCTATGAGGCTGGAGTCTCATTTGAGTACACTGCATACCAGTTGAAGACATGACAAGGAACAACAGCTGATTCCAAGAAAAGTCTAGGGCAGCAGAAGTGTTACCTCAAAGTCTACCTAAATCTGACACAGCTCCATATATTGAGTCTTGTAATTCACAAAACTCAATATATGTATTATGTAGTATTCATACATAATATATGTATGTAATTCACATATTCAGTCTTGTACATTATTAAAAAAGCAGACAAAGGCATTGGGACTCTGGCAACAGTGTGTGCTGCTTACTGTTGTTTTGAGGTTTAAATGGCAATTCAAATGAGGTGCTTTAGCCAGAAATTCAGAAAGGACAAAAATATATACCTCATGTAAGGATCAACACTGAGAAACATTGATTCAAGCAGCAACTCTGCAATGAAAGACAAAAGCAAATTCTTGCATATATAAGTGCAGTAAAGCATAGTTTCCACAAGTCAGTCTTTCAGCTAAATTGATAGGAACTCCTGACAGCTCAAAACCCCCATATCCCATCTTTGTTTAGGGAAAACCTACCGGAAACAACTACTACATCCATTAGTTTTGGGTTATTGTTATGCTGTTGAAAAAGAAACTCTCCAGTGTAGTTTTAGGAAACTACCTTATTTTCAAGCTTGCAATTTTGCATGTGTCTTGTCCCTCTAGAGAAGAGACAAGCAGCCAGAACTCCTAAACAAAATTCTCATTTAATTTTGATGTATATAAAATGTCATCCCATGATTCAGCCAGAAGAGGGTGGCACAGGTCAAATACAAACTAATTGGCTTCCTTAAACATAAGGCATTAGTTTATATTTTCGAAGTAGCCTAATCCACTTTACTCCCTCTAACAACACTAGTTTTTGGGAAAGACATTGTTAAACATGTTTTAAATTTCTCATTTATGAACCACTTTTAGTGGCTCATCTCCACCTACTAATATTTTTTTTTCATTGTCTGTGCTGCAGCAGTCTAGCTGGAAATGTACTCAGATTAAGTACCTTCCCATTACTAGAGAGAGAGCAGAAAAGCCATGTAATGACACTTTGACAGTGTCATTGTAGTGTGAACTTATGCCTCTTTTTGCTTTAGGGATTAAAATAGGAAGGAAAAATATACTCCACATTCTTAAATACACACAGGCATGCAATTTTTAAGTGTATCTGTAAATGTAAGAAGAAATCTGTTTTCAAACATTTAAGTTGTAAACATAATTGGTACTTTAATATCCTTCTGCACAATTCCTTCTACACACCTTTTAAAGTGTGGCAAATTTTGTAAATGACAAGTGGTGAGATGAAGCTGAAGAAAATATGGTACAAATGTCCACATGAAACAAAAAAGATTTTGAATGCAGGCACTAATCTTGCCGTCTTACTTCTTGAAATAAAAAATCAACCTTCATTGGCTCCAGCCCTGAGGTCTTTCAGCTGCAGGCTCATTCCCAGTACAGTCAGTCTGCTCTCCTCTTGGACTATCCTCAATATTTTCTCTATAAGCATGAAAAATTCCACTGAAAACATATTCCTATAGGGTATCATAATCTCCATCTTTTTCCAAGGGATTTTGCAAATTAAAGTAGATAAAAACATTTTACTAGTAAAACATGTTAGGAACTTAATACAGTTACTTGACTGGTTCTGAGTCACAGTCCACTTTTTGTCTTTCTGCATTGAACAAATTCTGTTTTCCTTGTGGTTGTCAGTTTTGAGGCCATATCAGTTCGGTAATTTAATCCATTTGCAAACACATTCAAATACCTTTTTAATCAAGCAGCAAGGGTGATTAGGCAGTATGAAACTGGGAAAGGTATGCCACAACTGCTGTGTAATGGACTTAGAATTCAATCATTGCTTCTAAGGGCCTTACCAGAAGGCAAGGTGTCTTTGAAACAACCAACTCCATCAGTGTAGTTCTTCAGCAATTGTCTTTCTGTTAAGGTGCATGGCTTGTGGTAAGCCAGCAATTTTGGAAATTCAAAGAGAAACATGCTGTTTTATAGATCCACAGGCACACATCAGCAAGCATATAACCTCCATAAAAGTAGCACTCTGCTCCCCTCCATCCTTTAGATTTGGTAGCTCTATCTTTTTCAGGTCAAAGTCACTGGTTTGGGGAAAACCATCAAAATGCTTCTTTAGAACCCAGGCTTTGGCAATCACCATCCTGTACAACAAACACAGACAAAGCACACCTGTCAAAGCAATGCCCAACAGTGCTCCTGGGACTAGTTTAGATTTCATCAGGCAAAACACCTATCTCAATAATGTGCCATTACACAAGAAAGCCTCTGCCTGTCTCTGTGGTAATATCACCAGGTTAAGAAAATGTCAGAAAAGTCCCCTCACTGTTTTAGCAATCTAGATCTTCCTGTGACCTGTGAGACCACTGCCTGCTGGCAGCAAGTCCTCATGTGGGAAGTCATCCCAGCAAAATGTGCAACTCCCACTCTAAAGATACTAAAGAAGGAAAATCTACTAGTTTTAGGAGGAAAAAAATCCCTTTAGATAATCAAATTTAAAACTTTTGTCTATTGCCCCCATTACCTTTAGTAGAGGTTATCTACTGAACCTAAACTTTTACAAGCTTGAATCAAAGTGAGAAAAAACAAAGGTAAGCAAGAGTTCTTTCTGTGACACTCATAGAAAGAAAACACTTCTCCAGTTGTGAAGACTGGAGCTTGGAACTGGAAGCACACTGCTACCATACATTTTCTGTACAAGACAGAAACGAACAAATTACTTGCATTAATTCTATCCTCATAGGTCCTCTTCCCTTCTTACACCCAAATGAATCAACAAGAAAAAAGAAAGAGAAGCTTATACTTAGAGCAGGCAGGTGAAAACTGGGTCTTCCGCTGACAAGCCAAGAAAAAAACTGGGTCTTCTGCATCTGCAGAGTCAGTGGCTGGCCTCCTTCAGTCACACACACTTATAAAAGATGAAAATGTCTGCTGTTGGTAGGTACCACCATCAGTACACTTCCCAAGAAGTAAGTAAACACAGCCTAAGGCACACCCACTGTGATTCACCATTTTCCAGTTATGATTTAAGATCAACCTTTCAAACCTGCCCAGTTCAGTGTCCAGCCAGTTGCACAGGCACGTTTTAAAGCACACAATGCTAAATGCATAAAATCCATGGTTCTAGAACCCACAAAATACTGCAGTCGGGAGACAAGACTATCCATCACAATAGGAGTTTCTTCAAATTATGTTTTACCTATCCAGTCCTGAAATTCTTAATAGTTCTACCTCTGTGCAAAAATAATTAAAAATTAATGTCCATTTCATTGCTCAATTCATACTTTAACACAGCAAATACATTGTCCACTCATGGTGTGTGCCCTGACATGTTCACTGTTCCCTGCACAAGGAGAGCTTGTGCGGCTAAGCCTCTATCTGTGAGCCACCTTAAGAAACAATAGCAAATTTTGGCATTTTGCCCCGACGATGTCGCAATGAGGTATGTAGCAAGAGAGAAAACTTTGTGCAGGGGACCGTCTTCAGCTTTTGTTCTTTTTCTGAAAACGCACAAGTACAATATGAAGGGTGAAAAGTGTAAAAAAAACAATATATAGCAATGTGTTCAACTACAAAACCCATGAAGACTGAAGTGCTAATTAATAGCAAGGATCTGAGGGGGAAAAAAAGCAAAATGTGTTTAAAGATGCACCCGCAAAGATCAGGGAGAACAGGTCAAGCTCTCCACTATTTAGATAAAAGAGTAAGTCACCAAATCCAGAAACTAATCAGCACTCGACAACTTTCTGCGGTAAAACAGAGACATTCCATGTTCAATGACAAAGAAACACAAGTGAAGGCTTCCTGCACCAGAAGTGTGTTCTGGGGAAATCACCTTTCACAAAATGAACTATTATCAAAATCGAAGCATCCCACAGTAGGTAAGTGGGCCAGCTTTTGTATCTACTGCTTTATGTATTTACTTTGGTGTCAACAGTGTTTGGCTGTAACAAAAGATACCATGACACTGCAGCGACAACAAAAACAGAAAACATGTTTACAAGAGGAAGGTGAGTTTAGAGAAACACAAAACTGATCCCACTCACTAGCTTACACTCACAGGCATTGAGAAGGATTTGTCCTAACTGTGTGCGCTGCATTTAAATAGGTATCCAAGTGCTCCAGCCAAGAATGACCAGGGACAAAGAGATGCTGGCCAGACCGACACCATTCAGTGATGCGCCATTTGTATCCCCGGGGAGCCACCAGCGAGTCAGAAATTCCTTTGTCTTCCATCCTGTCACGTGTTTGTGAATCATCAATACCGATTCCCCGCTTTTTGTCTCAACTGTTGTCTGTATGCCTGCAAGGCACCAGCCCTTTGCTTTACTTTCCCACTATCCTATCTTAGTAGCTTGAGTCTTCACGTCGGAGTACAGAACTAAGAACCTGTTACTTGCTTCAGGCTGTCCTTTGTTTTCCCTACCTGGCCGATTCACACCTGCTGTCATCATTACGATCCGCAAATCTACGCGCCATAGTACTGCCCATTTCTTTTCTTTAGTTTCTTCGGGCGCTTCTACTCCCAGATCTCCTATTCACACGAATCCTCACCTTCTTATCAAAGATCTCTACTTTTTGGAATACACGGGGCTTTTTCTGCAGAGCAATGGTCCTGCCTAGGAACAATATTGAAACACTAATTTCACTATGCCGGTTTTTATTCTATTTAAGCCTAATCTTGGAAAGAGGACAAATTTTCTGTCTACTATTTATCTTTTCTCTCCTGAAAATTACTTTGCATCATTATAGCCACTTCAAGGCTAGGAGACTTTGCTGTAGGTCATAAAGCAAAAAACCCCAAACCAAACAGAAAACACAGGTGCATGCTTGATTAATGGATCCACAAACTGATTTCCATCTTAACAAACCAAGACGATTTTGTATGTTTAGATACAAAATCATAAGAAGTCATAAGGACTACACTGCTTAAGCATATTAAATAACTCCAAAGGATAAACAGCAGTGATACAACACTTATGAGTTCCAGCTAAATCTTATGTCATAGCCACAGTCTCAGTTCCAAGAACAGTAACCTGCTCTTGTAAACTGTAATAATACTTTGTTTTCAATGTCAGTAGATTTGTATAATACATTTCTTTTGACGGTTGTATCTTAGTTAACCAGGATTTATGTGATTAAAAAAAAAAATTGTAATGAATTGCATTTGATTAGTTAAAAAAAAAAGTCTGACTGAGATTTTAGCTGATTTTGATTTAGATTTGTGTTGGCTGAATGTCAGAAGAAGACCCTGAGAAATTACCTCACTGCAACTGCAGAAAGGAACTCCATGAACCCATACCTCTTAGACAATCTAATCAATAAAGAACAAAATTTAATAAAGAATTATTCAAGGTTATCAATTAACTAGAGATTAATTAGAAGTCACAGAACAAGAAAGATAAGGAGTCAAAAGGTCTATACATCCCAGAAAACTCGACTAGTACAGGTGCAGGTGCAGTAAGGGAGCTATTTCATAGTTGAGTATACTCCAGAAAACTTAATCAATAGGAATTGTCCAGCCAGGACAGTAAGTTTAATAAAGCACTGTTTAGCTGGATAAAACTTGGGTTATCCATAAAACAAAGATGGATCAAATGTTCTGGAAGTACTTAAAAGAAACAAACCATATATATATTGATGCAATAAGTAAGGCAGATTTTTCAGAGTGTCTATAAAAAATCTTGAATATTATAGTGAATATAAATGCCTGAAAATTGTTGGTTTTTTGAACAGGTCTCTGCAAATAAATTCCCAATATGTTCCAAATTTTGACTCAAAATTGTTATTAGGAACATTCCTCTAACAGCTTTTTGATAGTAGATTTAAAACTCTTTGTTTCACTTCTATGTGTTTTCTGTATAAAGTGTTTCATAGACCATTATAATCATTACAGTAAAGAGACTGCTATGATAACTTGAGAAGGAACAGCACAGAGAGTGATAAGAAGACGCCTTTAAAAATAAGGTGATGCACTTCTGCTTGATTTTCTTACAAAAGAACCATCAAAGCCTTTGCTGAAATTTACGTCCAAGACAGCATTTATTCTTGATGTCATTGATGTCTTTCAAACCCTCCTTGCCCTGTGGTCTAGCCCATCAAGTTATCAAATAATAAAGACTATCAATGAAAGAGGTAATGGATTGGGAAGTCTTGGCTTTTTGCACTAACAATATATGTAACAAAGCAAAGATCCCACCTGTGTTCACTGCTGCAAACTGCAGCAGGGCTGAAAGTGAAAACAAAGCACCTTCACACAGGCAATCATAGCTCAGTCCCCAAAACCAGCATGAGTAAGGAGGTTCACAATTCAGGAGAAAATGGAAGAGAAGAAGGAAGAGGTGAAAACTGGAATACCATAATACATACTAGCAACTAGAAAAGAAGAGACAGACAAGTCTGAGAAAATTGAAATAGTTTCAATATACTGAAGAGCTAATGGTGATAGCTGAAATCTGGGAACCATCACATTAAAGCAGAAAAGCAGTAAAGCTTTCAAGACAACATGAGTCAAATTAGAAAAGTTTACTTTTCTTAAATAACCTTAGTTGTTATTCCTGAGTGGCGTGGTATAATTTCCTAGCCTGGACTTGCACAAATCTAACCTTGAGGATAAAATCCTTTCAGAAACCTGTCAGTTACATTAGTTCAATTCAAATTTTGGGTTAGTTTAACAGCTCATCTTCCTGGCAATCACAGTTTTCAGATATGATTGTGGCACTTTTCCTTTTATCTCCATTCTGAAGCAGTTACAGCTATGCTCACACCCATATTGGATGAAAAGGGTATGATTAAAAGCTGAGTAAAGTGTATCTCAGACAATTAATTTGTAGATTGGTTCTAAGGAGAAATTCACCCATCACCACAACAGCAAAGTTTTTCTGGCAATCATAACCTTATCTTTTTTCCCCCAGATCTAATTTATTAGTCTTCTGCAGCATTTCAAAGCAAAGTGGTAGCATAAGAGAAAAATACCTTAAAAAAAACCCCCAAAACAAACAAACAAACAAACAAAAAAACAAACTAACAACAAAAAAAAACAACCCACAAAAAACCTCCCAAACTAACATAAAAGGACTTCTTGGCATAGATACTGCCAAGGGAGTAATAATCCCGAGGCTACTTCAGGACATCCCATACACATACAAGGATTACCAATTACCTGGGAGTGAATATGGACTCAAATCCTACATTCCTCCTCACTTTAGCAAAAAATTACTTGTTCTTCCCCTCTGGCTTAGCTCTTACAATGCCTTTTCAATTGTACTTTTTTTTCCCTGTGGTAAGAAACAAGTAAAAGCAAACTACTCCCATGCTACTTTTGTCAGAGACCATACTGCAAATATCCACGCAAGAATGACACTGCATTTTGAAACAATAAAGCTGCAACTACACTTACTTATGCAATACTATCAAATCTTGGAAGAAGGTCAGAGACTGAAGGTGACTAGTTTTCACTCTGCTAAATGACTGTGCCACGCTGTACTTTGTTATCAGGTTGCAATTCCAGCAGAGGTTCAAAGGAGCAAGTTCACACAACGAAGTGAAAAGGGAAGTCAACACCATCACAGAAATAGGTCAGCTGCATTCACTCTCAGAAACTGGGCATAAAGAAAGACCTTACCACTGTCTACAGCTATCTGAAAGGAGGCTGTAGCCAAGTGGGGCCAGTCTTCAAGGAACAGGATGAGAGGAAATGAGCTTACACTGAACCAAGGAAGATTTAGTATAGGTGCTATAAAAATATTCTTCACAGAAAGGGCCGTAAAGCATTGGAACATGCTGTCCAAGGAACGAGTGGAATCACCATACTTGGAAGTGTTCAAAAAACATCTGGATATGGTGCTTGAGACCATGTCTACTACATGGACAAACTACATTCATTTACTGGTGAACATGGTGATGCTAGGTTGGACTTGATGATCTTAAAGGTATTTTTTCCAATTTTAGCAGTTTTATGGGGCACAGCAGTTGATGTGGGCTGACAAAAAAAGCTGAAGCTTCTTAAAGGGCCAGCTGTGCTTTCCTAGTCACTGCATGGCACCCTAAACTTCCTTTTAAACACTTTTATTACTTCTGCCTTACTTAAATGTTGAGACATATGTTGAAGCATCAGTAAATGCAAAATTTTACCAAAACTGTAGAGACACCCCATGTAGTCCAGTTTCACTTCTTAGATTTGCAGCAACAGGCCAGTTATTTCACCACAGAGAGAAATGTTTAATCTGCTTGATTTTACAACTGCCAAAGAAAACTTTGAGTTCTTAAAAGCATAGATTTCTACAAACGTTAAACACCCCCTTGCAGTGTACAGATCTCTTGCAACATCATGACTAAGTGAACTCGGAAGGGAAGTGACAAAATTCAAGCTGATGCTTTCAATTTCTGTAATATAACAAGGGTAGTTTCACCACTGAACAAGTTCCTGCTTGAAACATGCACAACCAGCTTCTCCCTCAAGACAGAAACCCGCTGCTCCAGCCTGCTTAGCATATACATACATCTGATCTGATATCTGTTACCTGTTATCTTATAATATTAAAAAGACAGATAAATTAAAAATTAAAGGGACGTGAGGAAAAAAAGAAGAGGGATTTCAACAAGAGTCCAAGGAAACAAATTTTAAGAGTGGAAGCACAGATCAGGTTGCAGACAGACACGCGAAGCTGTATTACTTTTGAAAGATAAAGATTTCACAATCTCTTCAGGCAACCTGTTCTTATATCTGACCTTAACATAGCTTGGCAGGGGGAAATCTCAGGACTCTCCATGTGCCACTGGAAAATACTGTTTAGCAAACAACATTTATCATCTCTTAACCTGCATTCCCTTCAGATGAGGTGGGTTCCATTCTCTTAATAGTCTCGTTAAGCAGCTAAAGAAGGCAGCAGAAACAATAGCTTTTGTTTCTGGAGACTGATCAAAGCCATTTCTCTCTTGGTTTTCCTTCATCATCTTGGTGACCCTACTCTGGATTGTTAATGTGTATCAGTGACTTTCTTCTACTAGGGAACTGAGAACACTGGATGCAGTTGGATCCAAGTTCAGGGTAGTGGGGAAAAGATTCTGCTCTTCCAGGTCATGACTGTCTACATCTTTCATAAAGATATCAAAAATTATGGCTAATAATGGGCTGCCAACTGGACTTTGTCCTGTGTTGGACAATCCTCCAATTTAGGGACAAGTTTAACTCACCAATTTGTCTCTGAGGTAGGGCTAGATGAACACTCAGATCTACAGAACATAGGAAATATCTCAGTCAGAATTCACAGCCATGATCAGTGTTGATCACTAGCAAGAGGCAGATCTGTCAGGTGTCATAAGTCACTGCAAGATGGCTTCTTTATCATGACACTGGGACTTCTAGGATGGCATTTTTCACAGATGCAATCCCACCACTAGACCTTCACTTACAGCGGGAAACACTTTGCTACTCCAGTCCTGTCGAAGGGTGTGGGAAGAGAGGTGGTTTGCCATTGAAGACAGGCAAAAAATTTGTTGAGTACCTCAGCCTTCTCATTCACTTCTAACTGTTTGCCAGCCTTGCATTTCCCACAGTGGTATGTGTGTGTACACTTTCTTTGACTTCTCCTGTCAAAGTAACATACCTGTAGAAACCCTTGTTGTTATTCTTAGCATTCCTTGTCAAGTTCAGCTCTAGATGACCCCTGGCCTTCCTCAGCCCACCCCTACATAATCAGACTCCCTATACTCTTCCCAGATATCTGTGTCTGCTTCCACTGCCTCTGCATGCCCCTCTTGCCTTTTTGTTTGACTCACTCATGCTGATTTCTTACCTTCCTTACCCAATTTCTTGTGACTGGGCATCACTAACTCTTGTGTTCTATGGAAGGTGTCCTGAAAAATCTGTCACCTCTTGTAAAAAAGGCAGTTTTGCACAGGATTCTACTGACTAGCTCATTGAACAGCTGGAATTTTGCTTCCCTGAAGCTTAATAAAGTTATTATAACAATAATAAAACCATTCCTAGATAGCCAGCTGCTAAAAATATATTTTCCTTGCTCAGACCATGTGTTATATTCGTTCCAAGGTGCTAACTGCATGTTAAATATCTACAACTGGATTTATATTCCTTAAAATGAAGCACTCAAATTTAAGCCTTGTGATATCAAAGCTATTACAGATCTACTTAAGAATTTATTTCTTAATACTTAAGAAATTATTTTTCTTTCCCACATCATATGTCAATAGGAACAAATGTGGCTGTCTTCATATGATGAAGCCTCTCACATCAGAATTGGTTCTGCTTTATTTCTATTTCCTTATTTCAGGCTGTGGTTAATCTGGATGGAAAAGGAGCAGCTGGAGCAGGTACAGTACTAGGTCCCCAGCTGCCAGCTCCATCAACCACACATTGAGAATGACTTTGGCCATTTGAAGAACCAGGTGCCACCTTCAGTGTAGTCCAAGCAGCCACCTCTAACAGGAACAAACCAGGAACTTTCCTGCAGGCCAGAAACACACCAGCACGTTTGCCACAGAAGGTAAATTCAAAAATAATTTGGGAGCATTTTCAGTTTGCCAGATAAAGAGTGGGCTGCATAGTTACACAGTATCAATCTGACTCTTGTCCAAACTAAAAAGTTTTTCCCAATATAGGTTCCAGATGTAAGCAAGTGAACTGCAGATGAGGGACCATCAAGTACTTCTGGCTACAGTAGTTCCAGCAGCAGTGCTGTCACACTAATGCCTTAAACAGCTGCATCCAATATAATTCCTGCAGCAAGCAAACACACTATATTTTCCTTCCCTAATGCAATGTAGACCTTCAGTCTGAATTATTTCGAATTACTGAAATAACATCAAACTCAGTAGTCCAGGACACAAAGTTTTACAGCAGACCTCAACAGTAACGCTGTCCAGCTGACAGCTCGAGCCCGCCTGCAAAGTCCTGGTCTACCTACACAGCACGACAAAAGCAGCCTCAGAAACGAGCAAATGCATCCAGCCGACTTTGCTTTCCTGCTTTGAGCAGCGCAGCAATGAACAGACAGCTACCGTTCCTCCAATGACACGTACTCACACGTTTTGAACAAGCTCTCCTAATTCTGCTCGAAGGGAAGCATGTCTGTATAAATTACAATAATAGATTTGAACCGGCATAAATGGCGCTTGGGGTTTTTTTTGGAGTGGGTTAGGGGTGGCATAGTAGGAATGCGTGTAGGAAGTATAGAACAGCACTTCCTTCATTTTGATATAATTTCAGGGAGGAACAAAGACACTTCCCGCCGCAGCCCGGAGCTAACGCTCAAGCTCCTCAGCCGCGCCGCAGAACTCCCCACGAACTTACAAAGCGCCTTCCCGCCCATCCCCATCTCCCTCACAGGCGCCCGGCCGTTCTCCCTCTCTGGGCCGCCACCCGCCATTTTGTGCCCCCGTCACAGCCGGAGGAGCCCTTTCCTAGCCATGCCCGCCGTGCCCGCCTTTCTGCCCCGGGGTGCGCGCCGTGCCCGCCTTTCTACCCCGCGGTGCGCGCCTTATCTGCCGGCCGCGCTCCGCAGCGGGAGCCAGGGGCCCCTAGCACCGCCCCTCTCCGCCGGGGCGGGCCGGCCGGGCTGAGGGCGCGGGGGGACCGCCATCAGGCACCGCCCATAACGGTCGCGACGGTCGGCGCCAAAATTTGATCCTGGCGGCCAGCGAGGAGCGGGTGCGGATGAGCGAGTGAGACTCTGGCATCGAGGCACGACCCTGGACGGGGGTAAGCGGGTGAGGGACCGGGGAGGGAAGCAGGACTCTCACGGCCGATTCGGCATCAGAGCCGGCAGGGAGGGCTCGCTGGAGCAGGGTCGCGGGCGGGTCCGCGGGGGCAGCGCGATGAAGGCGGCAGGGGTGGGGATGGGGCTCTGCTGGGTCCTTGCTCGCGGCCCTCAGAGCCCAGGCTGCCGCTTCCCGGGGATTCGTCCCTCGTGGGCTGTGTGGCTGCAGGTACGGCAATTCTGCAAGCGGGAAAGGGAGATCTCGCCGTGTCGCTTTGCGACAAACCGTGGTTTTGCCGCGAGTCTATAGTCAGGTGTTCTGATAAACTTTGTGTAAAGTCAAGTCCCTTAGAAATGCTGAAGTGCAGTTGGGATACTGCCTGGATCTGTGGTTTACTTGGCTTTTTTGGTTTATAAATGTATTATACTTTTGTTGTAAAAGGCATGCGTTCTTTCATTTCCTCAGGTCTAGTTGTTTGTTTGGCAGTATCATTCATTCGATTTTTTTTTTTTCTTTACTCTGATGTATATAGGATTATAATCCGGATACCTTTCTCAGTGCTTCTCAGAGGAATACTTTGCCTGGAATACCTATTAAGAGCGTTGGGAAGATGTACATTAAGTCAATTGTTCTTGAAGGTTTTAAATCCTATGCTCAGAGGACGGAAATTAGTAACTTTGACCCGTTATTCAATGCCATTACTGGCTTGAATGGTAGTGGCAAATCCAATATCTTGGACTCCATCTGTTTTGTGCTGGGAATCAGCAATCTGTCACAGGTAAAGAGATAGGACACTTAAGAAAAGTCTGTCTTCTGTTAGCAACTTTTAACGTTACTCTAGTGAGTAACCTCCCACGGAAGACCTGATGTGGTGTGTCTTTGAAAGAAATATTTTCATTATTTCAATTTTTCATTGCATTAATCTGGGTCTCTATCATTGTTGCTCAGTCTTATGTTAAGGTTGAATTACAACTTCATCCACATACCACAGTTACACGAAGTATGTGGCTTAAAACAATAGACTAAAAATAACCACTTAAAAGCTAACAGCTTCAAGCTAAAGGTTCTTTTTGCACCTACAGGTACTAATTTACTAATTTGTAATAAAATGTTTTCAGCTCTGGATTAAGTCTTAAAATCTGGCTACCTGGTTCATCAGAAAAAAATTTAAAAGTGATTTTCATGCGATGCTTATTATTTAAGAGATAATATATCTGCTTTATTTTTACTAAAAAATATGTGCTTTGACATCAGTTTCAATATCTGTCTGAAGATGATTTTTAAATTTGCTTTCTTTCCCATCCCTACCTTCCCCCAGCTGTTGACAAAGCAGGCAGGCCTCTAAGGAACAGTTTCTGAATCATTTTCCTGTGAAATGCATTGTGCAAAATAAATGTTTGTTAAATAAATTTACTGTCAGCTGGCTTTTTTTACAGATGTATTCAGTGTTTGTCAGGAGCCTCATGCAGAAACAGTTATCTGGATAAGTAAAACTAGACTGGCACACACTGTAGTTTCACAATGATAGCACCTTGCAGCTCCCATGTGCCAGTTCACATGAACTCATAAATTTGCAGCTAGATCTTTGGTTTTTTTGTTAATTTCTTCTAGACCTACAGTAGTACAATTAAAATGTTAATTCTTTTCAAAAAAGTATTTATCTGTTCCCTGAACTTAGGTGCGAGCTTCCAACTTGCATGATCTAATTTACAAGAGTGGGCAAGCTGGAATTACAAAAGCAACCGTGTCTATTAACTTTGATAATTCAAACAAAAGTCAAAGTCCACTGGGGTTTGAAGCTAATGATGAGATCACTGTGACTAGGCAGGTAAGTCTTTAATATCTGTATTTTTTCATAACCTATTTACATTTTTACCATGCTGATGAGTGGGCAGGGAAAAAAAAGGGTGATTTTCTGAGTTTCTGCAGTAAAGGCAAGGTTTCTATGTTGCTTCTAGAGTGTAGTTAGTTAGAAAAACTGTACCAGTGTACGAGCTAGAAATGTTCATAAAGCAAGTTAAAATTTTCTGCCTTGCGGCTTTTTCTGCTTTCATATCTTTCCTCTTAATATCTGAACTCTGTTTTAAATTTGGCCTCCAATAGCAAGGGAACCTTTATTTTTCTGGTGAAGGTGTTGGGTTTTGGTTTTTGGTTACTTTTTGATTGTTTTTTTTTAACATAGAGTTTTTGGAAGGTTTCTTGACAGTATTTTCCTCAATGACTAATCTTATATTTTAGTTAAATATTTTCAATGTCAAACAAGTTCTGTTTTGATGTTCTGCACAGTTTGCACATACATACATATGCAAAAATATAACAAGTGTGATTTACTCAGATTTTTTTGTTCTTTATTTCAGTTTATATTCTCACAACACCAAGCAGTTTTTTTGTCTTTGTTCTCTAGGTTGTTGTAGGAGGTAAAAGTAAGTATCTTATCAATGGTGTGAATGCTGCCAACAGTCGTGTGCAGGATCTCTTCTGTTCTATTGGACTCAATGTCAATAATCCTCATTTCCTCATTATGCAGGTATTGTGTGCATCTTTATAAAATCCAGAAAGAGTAGGACTTGCACTAAATTTAAGATAGGGAGATAGTAGGAAAATACTTAATTCCTAATTAGAATGTCATCTTCTCAAGAAAAAACAAAGTCTGTTAAATCATTACTATTGCCAGTATAGCATAGTTTGACCCTAAAGCACATCTTGTAGCACAAGACCTCATGTGCCCCTCATGTTAGCAAAACTTTCCCGAAATATATTCCCATTTTATTTTCTTTTTTTTTTCTCCTTAACAGCTAGGTATTGCTTTTATAAATATTATAAAATGGTGGGGGTTTTTTGCTATTATTTGTGCTCCCATGTTAGACAGCATCTTGAATGAAGTCGAGATATGTACCTTCCTAAGTCACAGTTATCAAAAGAAAGTTGACAAATTGGGAAGACTGTAAGGGACTAGGCAAATCCCTGTAATATTTGCAAGGAATAATAAAACAGAGGAGGATTTATTGATTCAAAGGTAACTGTCCCAAGTGGATGCCAAAGAGGGGAACAAGTTTTGTACATACTCTCTTTCTACCTGTTATGTATGAGCTACATGACCAATAAAGCTGGTTTATGATTAGGAGCTTATTAAACATCAGAAACCCAGTAAGACTCTAGGAAAAATATTTGAATTACTCTTTTAAGATGTAATCAGAACTGTGGAAGATTAGCCTGAGATACATTGTAAAGGGCCACTTCAAGTATATTACCTGAAAGAGTGACTTATTTGAACTTTGAAGAGCAAAACAACTGAGTAAACTAAATTATTGTTGTAGCGAAAAAAAAAAAAATTAAAAGTGCTTGAACTTATAATACAATGTGTAAAAGTGAATGGAGGTTTGGGGTTTTGGTTTTTCTTTTTACTACTTCATGATACACAACCACTGATCTTGATTTATCTTTCTGTCACCAGGGAAAAATTACCAAAGTTTTAAATATGAAGCCACCAGAGGTAGGAAAGTTGTGGTAGTGTTTTTGTTTTAAGCTACTGAACTGATTTGAATTACAAGAATATATATGTTGGGCAGGGGACAACAAAAATAAAAATCGGGGGGAGATGAGACATTCAGCTTAATTGAACCACTCTAACATAAGAGGAAACATCAAAGTTTTTTGCATTGCTTTATTTTAGATTTTAGCTATGATTGAAGAAGCAGCTGGAACTAGGATGTACGAGAGCAAGAAAATATCTGCCCAGAAAACCATAGAGAAGAAGGAACTCAAACTGGAAAACATTCAAACGGTACTACGTGTTGTAAAGTAGACTTTCATTCATGTTTGTTAAAGATAACTGAACAGCTAGTTCAATGTTGACTTTGTACAGCATTCTAGAATATTTCGTTTCTGCACCTGGAACTAGATATCCATGCCTATACATGTTTAAATTTTAGAGTTCAGTAAAATCAAAATATAAATCTTCTGTTATGTGTTTCAGGTCTTAAACGAGGAGATAGGTCCAACTTTAAAGAAACTGAAAGAGGTATGGAAAAATTAGATTCAAGTACTGAAAAAATACTTTCACAACTACCCTGAACCAGTAAGTTTTGGCTAAAACAATAGCATGTTTTCAAGCACTGCAGAGTCTTGTAAGGGAAAGAATTTTGTTATATTTCCAAGTACAAAGAATGTGACATTTTGGACTTCCAGGAAATCCTAGAGAGATATAGAGAGAAGGAAGAAAACAAGAGAACTAGATGAAAATAGATTTTAAAATGTTTTAGTTCTTAAAAAAAACTAAGTCAAGTGGTATTTCTGGTGTTCAGTCTATTTTATGAATATTATTTTAGCTGAGAATAACATGAAGAATCCATCCTCTTGCTTACACATACTGATGTTTAGAAGTACTTAAAAGATTTATGTAGTAGCCTTATGTAACTCTGTTTTTCCATCAAAATTTAGTGTGTTGTTATTTTTTTTTTTCCTTTGTTTTTTGTCCAGAAACGAGCATTCTATCTAGAATACCAAAAAGTAGTACGAGAAATAGAACATTTAAGCCGTTTTTGTGTAGCTTATCAGTTTGTTCTGGCTGAAGAAACAAAGGTATCCTCCACTGGTATGCTAAAGGAAATGCAATCTAATGTAGAGAAGTTTAAGGAATCAAGAGCTGAAATTGAACAGAAGGTAAAACAGCTTAATGAACGCATAGCAGAGATGGAAAAGGAAAAGGATAAGGTAAATGAAAAAATGAAAATAAACAGTTGTACTCCTCTGAATACCTGCATACAAAGAATTTTAAGATACTGGAATTATTTCTAAAGATAGTATACTGTTGAATTTTTATCTTCTGGTATGTAGCTTAGGTTATGCATTGTTCATTGTCGGTTTTATCTAGAAGACATCCATTTAAAGTTTTTGGTTTTGTCTGAAATGCAAATGAAAAATAACTGAAACATAAAAACTGTTTGACTTCATGTTTTTACTCTATGCATTTAATGGTATGTTTTGCCAGAGGCTTTTTTTCTCCCTTTTTGTTGATGTCTCAAAAGAAAAGTAAGCAAAGTTTTGTTTGGCAATAATCAGTATTGACTTTGATTTTGGGGGCAGTAAATTTAATGACATACAGGATGGCCCATAGAGGCTTTAGTGTTTAAATCCACCTTCTGTACAAGGACAGTGTCCCATCTTATGGAGTGGTGTGGGTCTTCAATAATAGTTCTAATTAAGTTGTATTTCAGAGGTGGGAGATGATCTGACCTGTTTGTATTGAAGACTACTGCCTGCTTGGTCAGATTTCCTTCTACAAAAAGCTCTGAACAGAAGGCGAAGTATTATAAATACTGCATTGGTGTCACAGGCTAAATTAAATTTCCTTTATTACTGATTGTAGGAAGTTGGTGGTAAACTCCAAGAACTAGAAGCTGCTCTTTCAGGAAATCAAAGAGTTAATGCAAAAGCACAAAGTGCTCTTGATCTCAAGAAGCAAAACTTAAAAGGTGAAGAGGTTAAGTATAAGGAATTGGTAACACGTATGCAGAAGGTAAGATATTTATATATAATTTTATTTACATACTAAATTAATTCAGATTGTGGGAACAGCTGTTTTTTTCTTTCCTGTTATGGTATGAAGAATCATGTGACTGGCAAGAATTACATTTAGAAGCAGAGACAAATATTAAGGGCATTGTTTAATTTTTTCAACATAAGTAGTAGGTTCTCTTTAGAAAAATATGTTGTGCAAATGCAAATACAAATAAAGTGCAGCTCCTCATGGTTCTACATTTTTTCTTAAGCTCAGCAGAGGTCTCTGTAGCTTCGAACTATTATGCTTTCTGGACATTTGTTACTCTTAATGTTAAATGAGAAATCTCTGCCTTGCATATTTTTGACAATCAATGTTTTGTTATGCAGGAGGATCATTTTTTAGATCTTGGGAAGAGCAAGATAATTCTAGTTCTTAGGCAGTTGTTGCCACTTCCTGTATTTCATCTCTCTGTAGATATTCAGTACATTCATGGGGCGAGTAATGCATTTGAAAACATGCAAAGACATATTGCAAGATCGCAAAATCTGACAAAGGGTCATAGAAATTTAGATGATGAAAACTACTTGTTGCTCGTCAGCTAAAGAACTTGAATTTCAAAGTAATAGACTCAGGTTCTCTCTTTTTTTTTCTTTGTTTTGCTGAAGGATTCTAAAGCATTAGTGTCAAAGGAGAAAGAAGTAAAGAATCTAGAGAAAGAACTAAATGTTTTACTGGAAGAAAGTGAAAAAGATGCACATGCTTTAGTTGCAGCACAACAGCATTTTAATGCTGTATCTGCTGGCCTGTCCAGCAATAGGGATGGTGAAGAAGCTACTCTTTCAGAACAGATGATGATCTGCAAAAATGAAATTAGCCAAGCAGTAATAGAGGCTAAACAGGTAAGAAAAAAACCTCTGCCTGTCTCAGACCTGCCTTCATGCTTTTGAAAATTGTCTGAAAACCAATGAACAGGTGCTTGAAATATCAATGAAAAGAGGTGCAGAATATCTATGCAAGATATTTTACATTTGAGCATATGCATTAAACTAACTTTTTGATAAAATATAACTGAAATATCCTTGCACAGGAAAATGCTGTAGTATTGCTGCAAGAAAGTATTAGAAACTGGCATTTGAGATATAAAATAGAATTCACTGTACTCAAATGATCAATAGTATTGAATAGGAAAAAATGAGGACTGTTGTTCATGATGGACAATCAAAAAGATTTTGGCAGTTAAACTTAATTGAATCAAAATAAAGATGCCTGTCATTTTGAAGTGGAGAGTTTAGAAGAAACTATTTTCTCCTTAGTTAAATTGTATGTTCCTCACATGACTGAAAGAGATGATACTTGTTTGTCTTAAGATAGAAGACCTCTGCTGGGGTAGTTGTGATAGTGGAGTTTAAATTTCCCAAGTTCACTTTCTTTGTCTCACTTAGAGAGAAATTCTTCATAGAATAATAAGGACAGCTATATCCCACCTTAAATTACTTTGTTTCTTCTCAGAGTTTATTCATGTTCTAATACGTTACCATGGTTAAATATGAGACCTATGGTTTTGTTTCCAAATAACCTGTGCCATTATTTTCAAAAGCCAAGGCTGGTTTTTGTCATATCTGCAACCAGTGGAAAATTGCATAAATTAGATGGGCAGCTTGATAGTGCAAGTGTTTTAAAATTGCCTCTGCAAGTTTGTCTTTGAAGTTCTGGTTCCATATTTGCTTACTCCTTATAGGCGCAAATGAAATTGAATTATGCACAAAAAGAATTAAAGGCAAAAGAAGCTGAAGTTAAAAAGATGGATGAAGGCTACAAGAAAGACCGAAACACATTTGAAGCTGTTGAAAAAATGAAAAGAACCCTAGAGAAGCAAATACAGGAGCTGAACTACTCAGGTCTGTACAGACTTCTGCTGTGTAATTTTGAGGCAATCTGCAAAGGAGTATGGAAGTGTCATGAGTTGACCCTGATTCCATGCCAGGTGTTTGCCAAAGGTGTTCTATCACACCACTTCTTAACTAGACAGAGGAGATGATATACTGCAAAAACTCATGTGTTGAGATAAGGACAGGGAGAGATCACTTGACAATTACTGTCATAGGCAAAATAGACTTGACTTGGGGAAATCAATTTAACATAATTTCCCAGGCTCTATTTTGTTTCTGATTTTCTGTACCTCCTCTCCATGAGTGGTGCAGGGGGATAGGGAATGGAGGCTGCAGTCAGTTCCTCACACGTTGTCTCTCCCACTCCTTCCTACTCAGGGTCACTCATACTCGCACCCTTCCCCTGCTTCACCATGGGGTTTTTCTCCAAGGGAGGTAGTCCTTATTGAACTTCTTGAGTGTGAATCCTTCTCATGGCCTGCAGCGTTTCACAAACTGCTCCAGCACAGGTCCCTCTCATGGGGTGCAGTCCCTCAGAAGCAGGCTACTCCAGTGTGGGTTCCCTTGGGGGTCACACATCCTGCCAGCAAACCTGCTCCAGCATGCGCTCATCTGTCCATGGGTCTGCTGCTTCTGACAGGATTCTGCTCCAGTATTGCTTTCCACAGGCTACAGGTGGATACACTGTGGACCTCCATGGTCCATGTTGCTACCTCAGCATGGTTTTCACCACAGGCGAATCTCAGTTCCAGTGCTTGGAGCACTTCCTCCGTGTCCTTCACTGGCCTTGGTGTCTGCAGGACTGTTCCTCTCACATATTGTCACTCCTTTCCAGCCACTGCAGATAGGTTTGGCCTTTTTTTCCCCTTCCATAATATGTTATCCCAGAGGTTTCACTACCATCAGTGATGGTCTTGGCCTTAGTCTGCCTTGGAGCTGGCTGGAGGATGCAGAAACAAAAGAAAACAAAAGAATTTATGCTCTGCTTCCCATCAGGAATTAGAAGGCATTGTTCAGCCACTTCCTGTGACGTAGGACCTCAGTATGCTGTTTTGGAAGGCTGTTTTGGAAGACAAAGGCCTTAATAATGGATGCTCACTTCCCTCATCCTTTCTCTTAGCTTTTACTGATGAGCACACTTTCATAATAGTATGGAATATCTGTTGGACCCCATATCCTGTCTATGTCCCCTCCCAACCTGTTGTCCACTCACAACCTACTGGCTTTTGGAAGAGGGACTGGAGGGATAGCCTTGGTGCTGTACCAGCATTCTTAGTAGCCAAAGCTGTGTTACATCTATGCTTTTTCAGTAGAAACACAAACAACAGCACTATGAGGGCTGCTGTTGGACATCTCACCCAGTCCCAGTGCAGGAGGGAAATGAAAATCAAGTACACTGCTTTCAAGCATAAATTCCTCTGATGTGAGCTCTGCAAACTCTTAAACTTCCACAGACAGCAGCTTAAAATAATTTGTTTGTATAAACTTTGAGCTGAGCATTTTGAAGTTTGATGGCACAATTAAATTCCAGCTAAAATTTAGATGGTAAAAGAGACCAAGACTCTTATTACTTCCTGGGTTTCCGTACCTAAAACACTTCTTAGAGTTTGTTTCTTATGCCAGGTAGCAGTTGTTTCAGACACTACTGTTAGCTGATATTCCAGATTAACCTTTAGAGAAGAACATTACTCTTTAAACTTTTTTCTTTGGATGTTTGGTGTCATGATGGTATAAATGTATTTAGTTTAAAAATTTACAAATTATTTTAAAAAGTTTTCTCTACATATATGTAGATAAGCAGTGTAAGATACCGATTTTTAAGCTAATAGATTTCTCTGCTCTGGATATATGTCTACTGTTTGTGTTCAACTCTGAAGAAGAAAAAAGGGAAGAAGCCCTCCTGGCAAAAAAGAAGGCATTGATTTCTGATATCAGTCAGCTAAGAGAATTGAGTGAAAAATTAATGTCAAGACTTCCTCATCTACAGTTTACATACAAGTAAGATCTTAGTGTGATCCTGAAAGATATTTGAAAGGGCTTTTGGGGACCTTTTACCACACAATTCTAACAATGTCTCAGCTTTTGCTGTCTTTTTCTTACTGCCAGTGAATAATGACTGTCTAACCCATGCTGCAAAGTGAAGAGGAAGGGGAAGGTGAGGGGAAAAGTCCTATAATCTTCTCTAAGTCACTAGAATTTAAAAGTTTTGTCTGATGGCATTTCCAAGTCATAAACTCAGTAGCTAAAGCCATAGAATCCAAAGGTCTAAACTGGGACATATGTAATCACTGTTTCCTGCCTGTGGACTCAAGTAGACTTGCTCTTTGGAGGTCAAGTCCAGCCAAATATCTGTATTCCCAGGTTTAATTTTTTGTGTAATAGGCTGAGCATACTCCTATAGCTGTGGTAATAGCAGAGCCCCTTGGAAAAATCCATTGAAAAAATGCAGAAATAAATCAAGAATTACATTCTTTTAATGACTATGTAACTGAGTCATATGTAACTGACTATTTATTGTTGAATCTCTTCCTGTGGAGTATTTAACCATTTTTTTGTGGGTTCTTTTTCTGATAGAATTTAGAATTGCTTATACAAGACCAATAAGCATCATGGGTTTCAAATATAAATTTTTTAAGGATGTGTGAGAGAAAACATGATTCACAGTCACAATTTATATTTATTTTAAGACATCCAGAAAAAAGATGGAATCCAAACCAGGTGAAAGGCCTTGTTGCGTTTCTTATCACTGTGAAACTTCCATCCAATGCCAAAGCCCTGGAAGCGGTGGCTGGAGGGAAACTCTATAACCTTGTTGTGGACACAGAAGTAAGTTTATTTCATTAGTACACAACTCTTAAATTTTGAGATGTGGTTGTATGATTTGGGTTGGCAAGCATGTGCCTTGTTACTGAATGCATGAGAGGGGTTTGGACCTACGTATGTGTTTTAATTGGGTCAAGAAAGGCATGCATAGTTGGTGACAACAATGTGTTCCTCCAATGCCCTGCTGTCTTACTTTACAAAATTACTTGTGTACTCAGGTATGCTTTGTACCTGTTTTTCATTTGAGGTTACTGGCAAAAAGCTGTTAGAGAAGGGTGAACTAAAGCGTCGATACACCATCATTCCCTTAAACAAAATTTCAGCCAGGTGTCTTCAAGAAAACATAGTCAAGTTGGCCCAAAGCCTGGTATGTAAATAAATTCACTCTTGACGCTATATTGCTTCTGTCCCATTTTGATTTTATTTCTGTGCTAAGAACTTGAGATTCTTAATGGTTATTATAATAAGAATTTGTACAGGGTTTGATGATATATTGATTTTGTTTTCCTTTGTATCCTTTTAATTTTGTGAGGATTAAATGGGTATTAATTATTCCACTTGTAACTGAAATTGTTTTAAAATGCAATAATACCTTTGGAAGAGTTGTATCAACAAAAGACAGAAATCAAATTTGAAACTTCTTTTAACTTAAGGCATACTAATTGCATTTTGTTTGATTTCTAGGCTGGACGTACTAGCTTGTATTTAGCCCTTTCTCTAATTGGGTACAAATCTGAACTGCAAAAAGCAATGGAATATGTCTTTGGAACAACATTGGTCTGTAATAACATGGATAGTGCTAAGAAAGTGACTTTCGACAAAAGGATAATGACAAGAAGTGTTACTCTTGATGGAGAGGTGTTTGATCCCCAAGGAACTCTGCATGGAGGCAATTGCTGGTTCTATTAATACAATACTAATAATATTATGTGCTTATTTGTTTACTGCTCTTGCATATTTTTTATAAGATTTAACAGTAACATTTTTACTTAGATACATACTGGGAATAATACATTTGCGTTAATGTAAAGTTGTCTTCAGCTGAAATAATATTAATTAGTTTAAGAAAAAAGTAAATGACAAACTTGCCATAAAGTAATTTACATTTTAAATACTTCAATCTTATTAAACTGTATAATCCTCTTGGAAGCAAAAGTGCTTGGAATTCAAGCACTTTTTGAAGTAATTCATCATTGGTTTGTGATAATTTCATAAATTACGGAAAATTAGATGTTTGTGTAAGACACACATGCTCAATATTCAAAGACTGCTGAACTATGCTCTGTAACAGGTGAGGTAGTCTTTCTCTCCTGAGAACTCTAGCTTTAGCCTAGCTGCATTCTCTGTTTCTCAACTAAAATAAATCATCAGCATGTCTCATTGTTAATGCTTACAATTTGCAATTTCCAGTGGTGGATCTACTGGTTTGATTCCAATCAGCCTGGCTTTTAAATTTTTTCATTGAACAGGTGCATCCTTACAGGCTGGATCAATATTGTCTAAACTTCAAGAAGTGAAAGATGTTCAAACAGAACTCCAGGAAAAGGAATCTGAACTTGAAGCGGTAGAGAATGAGTTGGCAACCTTGAAGACGGTTGCTGAAAGGTAAGGTTTGCACTATACAATGTGTATAATTTCTCTTAATGTGATGGAGTAAATTTAATGTAATGAGTTCTTTTGGGTGGCCATAGACCTGTTGAGAATGTAATATGCAGAAAGTAATTCCCTTCCTCTCTTTCCTTGCAATAAAATTAGTAAGTTCAGTAATCAAAAAGAAAATTCAGTTTTAAAATAACACATGCAAAACCACTTTACTTTGGATAATACAGGGCAAAAAAAAGGGTACACATTGGTAGCTAATTGAAATTGGTTGAATTTTCATTAAGTACACTGAAGAATGGATCTGTTCTAGACATATTTTTAACACCTATACAGAATTCCAATTTGTGGTCAGTCTAATTTTTCTCACAAGGAAATAAAAAGATGTTAAAAAGGACTATCTGAGTGATACTGCTGTAAGCATTTAAATTAAATTATATTAAGTATATTTGATTTTTAGCTACTCAGTTACTGAATACCATATCAAAAGATGGAACCAAAAAATATGTTTAGTCAATTCTGCCAAAAATATCCTAAGGAAGTAGTGTTGTATAATATGCTACTACCAGCTGGATTTGTTTCTTCAAATTGTTTTGAGCTGCAGTAGACTTCCTGAAATATCACCAAGAAGAAGAAGGAACTTCTGCTTTTAGATACCTTTTCTTTAATTCTTCACCCATGTCATGCTGCCAGTTGGGAAAAAAGTTGCATTTGTTTTAATAGGTCAGATCAGGGCTAAATAGCAGGAGCTACATATATAATAACTTGCTTGCCTATAAACCTCACAATTATTATTTAAAGCCATTATATTGGATTTTCATTCATTTAAGCTTATTTGCCATACTGTCATCACCGTATCTCTCACATGAGAAACAGAATATAGATATTCATCTACTTACTCCAGCTTTGAAAGTGAGATGCTGGATACCCTTCCGTATAGCAGTGTTTGTCACTACTGTCTCCAAAGGTATCAGCAGCTGAAGCAGCAATGGGAGATGAAGTCTGAGGAAGCAGAGCTTCTGCACAAGAAGCTTTGTCAAAGTGCTTACCACAAACAAGAGGAAGAGCTGATTGCCCTGAAGAAAACTATTGGTGACAAATGTGTTCTTACTCTTATCTGAAAACTAATTGCTGAGAATGAGATGGGTATCAGTCTGTTTGAGTTACACGTTCTTTGTTTAAGAAAGAAGTACTTTCACTTTAAAAATAATAGCTTTATATTTTGGAACATGTAACAAGCACAGAATCACAGTATACTTGCATAGAGGCGATTCACTTAAAGATGGTCATTCTCTTATAGTAAAGGCTATACTCTTATTGAATGTTTTTTATATACTTTGTAAATGAAAATACATCTTTGCAGGGAAGTTTAAAAATTGATTTAATCCCATATTTGTGTAATCTTTCCTTTTTTAAGCCATCTATTTCTGTAGATAGGTAAGGTTAATAATATAGTTTGCATAACAAGAAAGCATTGGAAAGAAATAGTGTTCCATATAGCTGAGGGAAGACAAAATTACACAAAATGCAGCAACAAGTAAAATGTCTAAAAAATGGCCAGAAGTGATACATATCTAGATCTTGTATTCCAGGGATAGGATGCTATCTTGTTAGATAGCCATCTGATTAATTACTTCTTGATCCTGTGACTTGACATTCTTCCCTCTGCCAAAAAAAAAAGGTCATCTTTTCATAATGGCTGTTTGGTCCCCTACTAATAACTGATAGAAAAAGCATACAGTCTTAGAGTAATCATTGAAATACCTGACTTCAGCAACTAGTGAGTGCTCAACCACTTTTTTCCTGTTGGGGGCAAAGAGATTTATTTCATTTGCCATTTAGGATGTAAATTTAAAGATGAGAACAGTGCTCAGTCTCAATACTCTACTTCTTGATTCAGCATCTTGTGAAGAGACAATAAACAAAACCGAAGAGAGCAAAAAGAAAGCAGAAAAAAAATACAAGGAATTGGAGAATAAAATTAAAAACGCAGAAGCAGAATATCTAAAAGAGCGGAAAAATGCAGAGCAGAAACTAGACAATGCCAAGAAAAAGGCAGACACTTCAAGCAAAAAAATTAAAGACATGCAGCAGGTAAAACTTCACTTCTGTTGGCAGTTTTCTTAATGTTAAAAGTGGCTGCAAAAAGCAGAAAGTATGATTCTCCTGAGGTTTTAATCCTCTCAGTTTTGGGACTTAATATATTACTGTGCAGTCACCAACATAGTCATTGACTGAGGTTTTTTTGTATTTTTATTTTTTTATTTTGTGGGATTGCACTCTTGCTCAAGAATGGGTGCTGTTAATCTTCTACAACATTTACTACATCAAACTGAATCTTAATTCTTTCCATTTAAGTATAACTAATAAATTGGAAAATATCTCTTTAGGAAGTGAAAGCTTTAGTTCTGGAGCTTGAAGAGCTGAAACAAGAGCAGGCCTCCTATAAACTACAGATAACAGCTGTAGAGGAAGCAATCAAATCCTACCAGGATCAAGTTGATGCTCTGGTGGCTGAAGTGGCTAAAACAGAGGTAAAAATGAATAAATACTGTGTTTCATTATCCATTTTGATGTTACTCTGTGATCCTCTGAACCTCACATTATAATGTGTATTTTTTTCTGCAGAGTTACTACACTCAATCAGCCTAGGTAGTTATTTTTTTGCTTCACTTTCACATGTGAATTTTTTCTCCTTGCTGTGTCAGTTCTAATAAGGCTTTAATGCCAACTTTAGAAGAGGCCAATAAATGTCTGTTGATTTGCTTTTTCAGGAATCTGTAGAGAAAGCACAGAAGGAGCTTACCAAGCAAAAGGAAGTAATTGCATTACATGATAATGCAATTAAAGACAAATCTGCAGAGATGGTAAAATACAGAGAACAAAACAATGAATTACACCTTAAGGTTAAAGAATTAGAACACAGCATCACCAAATGTCAACAAGAGGCTGCTGATGCTGATGCCAAGGTATTTTGAAATTGTGCTTTTCTTCACATTGTGACCAAGGATGGTTATTCTCTTGCCACATACAAAGGGAACATGAAAGTCTTTTTCCTTTAAGCTCTGTCATATTTGCAGCTCTCAATATAAAATTATTATCTGAGGAAGAGGGATTGTACATTGTAAAAGAGCTTATCTGTATGGAGTAACAGGGGGTAGATCATGGTGAGAAAGTGATCAGTAAGAACATTCTGACTGTATGGACAAATTCGCTAAGTAATTAAAGAAAGTAATTCCATGATATTGGTATAGCTCAGATGTAGAAAAAATGTGTTTGAAATAAGTAAGTAAGATGTACATGAAAGTTACCTTAAATGCTTCATTTGTCCACAGTGAAGGAAATCACACAAATCATTGTAAAGATATGTGCCTGTGCTGCATTGGTGTAGAAGAATTAATGTGGTAATTTCAGAATCTAGGTGGGATTTTGTTTGTTGTTTTGGTTGCTTGTTTGTTTTAATTTTTAGTTCACACTTAAAAAGCGTGAGGAAAAAGCTTCAACATAACTTTTTGTTTAAAGGTGGCCAAAATGCTGAAAGAATATAAGTGGATAGCTTCAGACAAACCACTCTTTGGCCAGCCAAACACAGCCTATGATTTCAAAAGTTGCAACCCTAAAGAAGCAAGTCAGAAGCTGCAGAAATTGCAGGAGCATAAAGAGAAGATGGGAAAGAATGTGAACACCACAGTTATGAACTTGATTTCTGATGCAGAGGAAAAGGTAAACATTCTATGCTTTTATCTGTAAAGATTGGTCAGGCTGGTCATATAGTATATACAGTATATACCAATATATATATATATAATGTAGCTTTATGTTTTCATGTGCTCTATTTCTCAATACACCAAAAATAAACTAAACCTTTTGCTGGTTCTTTCATACTAATCTTACATCTTTGAACTGTTCATTGGAGCACCAGGTTTTTAGGTTACTCATAATTATGACTTTGGATGGTAAAAAATACTATTTTATTCCTTCCTACCAGTTAATCCTAAACTGAAGCATTAGCAAGCTTTGTGATGTCCATTAGAGTATCTAGAATCTATACACTGAATTAAAAATTGCAGACCAAAAATATATTAATCTTCAAGCTTGATGGTGTAGCAAGGTTTTCTTGTATTAATCTGTATTTCCAGGCTATTCCAGGATTGTCTGAAAACTGTCCACTGATTTTATCCTTCAACTTTTCTAGTACTGTTTCCTCCTATAAGCCTCCAGAAGTGTCCTTTCTTCTATGGAAAAGCAAGTGAAACATGATTAACTTGGGAAGTGCCACTTTCAGAGCAATGTCATTCTTCCCCCTTGCTGATTGTTGAAAATTCTGATGCTTTAATTTGCAAATATTCCCAAAATTTATATTCCTCATGCAGCTAAATGAATGCACTGGATTTTAATCTTGTGGTTAATTACTATTTCATAACTACACAAAGATACAGTGAAGCTGTAAGATTAGCACAAAATGCATTTGAGCACAAAGTTCATTGAAATCAATCTTTTATTCTCTTTGCACCAGTACAATGACTTAATGAAGAAAAAAAGAATTGTAGAGAATGACAAGTTAAAAATTCTTGCAGTTATTGAAGAGCTTGACCAGAAGAAAAAACAAGCTTTAGATATTGCTTGGAAAAAGGTATGACACTTGAAACTTATCTTCATGTTTTAGTTAAGGATCAGATTTATTTTGGATTACTGTTTTGCATATTTCCTTGGGAAAAAGTCGGTTTTCAGAACTACCATCCCTGACCCGTATTTTAAAATAGCCCCTTTATTTCTCCTGTTTATTCCCACTTTTCAGAATAAGACATGAATTCTTTGAGAAGTGTAGAGGTCCATTTAAACCTGAAAAACTATTTTTTCATTCCCTTTTTGTGTCCACAAACATTTCATGAAGGTTAAGGCATATTGAAATACAGCTGAGGTTTTTTTTTTTTTTGTTTTGTTTTTTTTCCTTAAACCAGTATTTTACTAGAGTAAAAATTCTTTATTCCTATGTTGCCCTCTACAGTGCAGGGCTGTGGGCCTGGTGTAGTGCTTCTGTTACTGTCAGGGTAGAGCAATGTCTGATTTATGTTTCTGTTACCTAGGCACTTTGCCTTTTTACCAGGTCTCTCATATAATGAGAGACTTTATACAAAAGTATAAAATTATCCCTTTCTACATGGAAATGTTCTGATACTTTATTTTTTGCTGTACCAGCAGAACTTGTGTTTTTTGGCTTTTGATAAAATTGATTTTAACCAAGATTAAATTGCACATAGAAGAAGTATCTAATTATTAATTATGTTGCCTGTACTTAGGATATCACTGACAAAGTGGTACCTTTTAATTGTAAAAATTGTGTTTGGCAGAACTTAGTGAGCTGTAATGCAAAAGCACACAATTGTTGGAATACATGTGTTTTCAGATAAATTCCTAAACCTAAGACATTTTTAATCTACATTTACAAAGTTGCATCCCATCTCATACCTGGACATTGCTTAAGTAAACCTGGGAAGAAGAAGAGTGGGGAGGATGCCAGCATGTATCTCTTACATGGTGCTTGTACTTTTAGTAGTCCATTAATTGAAATGGAAGTTGCAATTTGCCGGTTTATAAATCTGAGTTAGGGCCATAATCATTTCCCTGGCTGATAGCATAAAGAAGCCTTCCAATACATCTTTCATTGGATCCTTCTAAAATACTTAGCATGAGGTGTCATATATCCTTTGGTGTTGCTTCTCTCTTCATTGCAGAAAAAGTAAAAGCTAACGTTTACTCACTGTCCTGTATGTGACATGGGAAGTCACCATATTGAACTGGGAAAGATGTTGTGGGTGTTGTGCTGCTCATCACTAAGTTTTTTACTGTTTGTGCTCTTGATCCAGAGCACGCTTATACATCTTTTGTGGTCTGACTTCTAGGTCAATGAAGATTTTAGTTCCATTTTCTCAACACTCCTACCTGGAGCCAGAGCTATGCTAGCACCCTCTAAAAGTCACAATGTCATTGTTGGTATGGAGTTCAGAGTTGGCTTAGGAAAGATCTGGAAGGAAAACTTAACAGAACTTAGTGGAGGACAAAGGTTGGTGAATTCACTTGTTTTCCATTGTCATTTTGTATGTAACTGATATGTCTAACTAATAAAGTCCTGAAAAGCAAAAAATTAATCTTTTTCTTGTCAAGTCAGGGACTCTGCCTCCTTCCAAATGGACTCAATATTGGAAGCACTATTAATATATTCTGACTTAGAACAATGCTTTACTTACTATAATAGACAATATTTTATTCCCATCACACAGAAGTGGCAAAAAAAATTTTTTTGAATGGTGAGAAAAACCATTTAGTACTACCACTACTTTAGGTAGTACTAACGTAACCTTGAATTAAATGCTCCTCTCCTTGAGCTGTAACCACAAAAATCTATATTGGCAAATATTTCCCTGGTGTAAAGGTAGTGTCATGGCAACAGTTTCCTTCTCCAGTGTTTATGGCTACTGTGTAGGGCATGTGCTTCTTTGCAACTTCTAAGGGAAAAAAAAAGATCTTTACAAACTGAAAAGCAGAAACAATTTAGGAAGAGGTAAGACAGATACAGAATTGTGTCACATTCTGTTCTTTCTAAGGACAGAATAGTTGAAGAACCAGATCTGGAAAAACACTGCAAAACTCAGAACTGGGAATTGAAAAACAGCATAATTTCAAACATCATCACCCAACTAAAGTGATCTTCCAATAAGAAAAAGTAATATTTGCTGTTTCTGACAGAAGACTTCATGTTTTGAAATAGGGAAACTAATATTCCATCTCTTCAGAACCATAGCAGTAATGTGCTTTTGAGGGACTATTTTAGAATCACAGAATCATTTAGGCTGGACAAACTGTCTTAAGATCATTAAGTTCAACAATAATCTTAACTGCCAGGTCCACCATTAAACCATGTCATTACACCCCACATCTACATGTCTTCTAAATCTCTCCATGAGTGCTGACTCAAGCACTTCTGTGGGCAACCCATTAAAATGCTTGATAACCATTTCAGTGAAGAAACTTTTCCAGATATCCAATCTAAACCTACCCTGATGTAACTTAAGGCCACTGCCCCATGGCCTGTTTCATTAGCTGGGAGAGGAGGCCAATCCCCACCTGGTTACACCCTCCTTTCTGTGGAGAGCAATAAGGTCCTTCCTGGGCCTCCTCTCCAGGTTAAACAGCACCAATACCTGCTTCTCATCGGACTTGTGATCCAGACCCTTTACCACCTTCATTGCCTTTCAACAATTGTTTTCAAAAGCCAGAGCCCTTCAGATAAGACTAAATCATAATTTTCTTGTCTCCATACTAGATCATTGGTGGCCTTATCCTTGATATTAGCCATGCTCCTCTTCAAGCCTGCCCCAGTTTACATCTTGGATGAAGTGGATGCAGCTCTTGATCTCTCTCATACCCAGAATATTGGGCAGATGCTTCAAACTCATTTCAGACGCTCCCAGGTATGTTCTTGAAATTATTGTGCTAATAGAATGGTTTGGGTTGGAAGGGGCCTTAAAGATCATCTAGGTCGATCCCCTGCCATGGGCAGGGACACCTTCCACCAGGCCAGATTGCTAAGAGTTCCATTATTTACAAAGGCAGTTTGTACTGAGGGCTCTGAGCTGTTTACCTCTTTCGTTCTATAGCTGTGTATTGTATTTCTGAGTTGTTTCAACTGAAACTAGACTGACATGGCAGTTGTGAAACTTGAATGTTGTTGCTGCACTGGTTAAAAGGGACCAATAGGGAGGAGTATTTGTGATATGCTCAATTTCAGGCATAACAATATCCTGAATTCTTTTTTTCCTAGAGATATTTAACTTGAGGCTAAAGATATTTCATGTTGACCCTAATGAAATTAGTCAGGCAGTACTGGAAAGGATCTCTGTATCATTGTGACCTGTACAAAAGAGAAAAAGAGGCAGTACCTGTTTCTATTTGATATAATTTGACCATTCCAAATTATGTGAGGAGGGGAACCAGTATTGCAAAATTATTTGAGTAGTATCTTTTGACGAGGTAAGATCTTGCATTCTTTCATAATTAATGGCACAGTTATGTCCATATTTTCTTCCACCACAAACAGGCATCCTGCATTGTGGACTGTATCCCAGGCCAGGTGCTGGGATATGGACAGGAGTGTCATTAGCTGCAGAAAAAGAAGGTTTACATGAAAAAAAGTGGGTTTACAGTAAAAGTGGACCAGTGTAACACAGATCCCACTGTTGGGACCTCTTGAGCCTTGGTTAGTTTTAAATATTTTTTTAAGGTTATTACTGAGGTATTAGCCAAATTAAGGAAAAGGAGTCCTCTCTTTGGAAGCCTTTTCTAGTGTTGTTTGGATAGCAACATTTATTTTAAGTATTTCTGGTTTGTTTTAGTTTATTGTGGTGTCTTTGAAAGATGGAATGTTCAACAATGCAAATGTCCTCTACAAGACCAGGTTTGTGGATGGTGTATCCACTATTGCAAGATACAGTCAGATCAAAAACGAGAGAAAAAAAGAGCGCCGACGAGAAAGTGCCAAAAAAAGAAAAATTACGGAGAATGGTGAGCTGAGTGACATAGGACCTGCAAAGATGCGCATCCCTATTCTTGCACAAGTCTAGTAACAATTTAAATGGTCCTTGTTGCTTCCTAATGTTTTTATAATATGTTTTGATGTTTTAGTTCATATCTGCATTTTATTAAGAATTGAAATTCATACAAAGTAGTCTTTAATAACCTGTTCTATTAAGTAAGCTGGACAATTTTGATCTTTATGGTGTGACACAAGTCATGTCATTCCTCTCTAACATTTACACATAAATGTATATAAGCAGTAGCTTTCAGTAAACTTATAGCCTTTAGATGAGGAAAAGCTGATTCAACTACCAGTGTTCTATTCAGAAGACCTATTGCCAAGTATAGTAACAGTCTTCCTTGCCTGTTGTCAAATTCCACAGAAAAGTGTCACTGATAATTTTTGTTAAGGAGCAAAGCAATCCTCAACAACTAACTACTGCAATTTTTTTACAATTTTTCACCTGTTGTTTTTCCAAGATAAAATATGATATACAGTACAACCTGGTTGTGTGTGTGCTTGCCTTCCTCTAAGTTTTTCACTGAACAGTGCCTTCTCAGAATTGAACCCTGAGTTTTTACATTCTTACCTGAATGTATCCTGCTGCTTTCACTGGCCAGAAATGACACGTCTGTGGGGCTCAAGTCCAAACCAGCTTTATCATAGCACTACAGAGTAGGTCTCTGCTCACCGCAGCACAGGACCCATGTCTGTGTATGGTGGGTGTATGGTCTGACAGCATTTCCCTTGCCAGATGATGCTTCTGTCACTTGGTGTCCAGCATAGGTAAGGTTTGTGTGCTGTCCTCTACTTACCTCATTTGTGTCCCTTCCTTCTTTTTCTTCCTTTCTGAATACTGTTTAGAAAAGTACATATAATTGAGGTAGTACAGGGGGGAAATGTGTGCATGTCTGGAACAATTTGGAAATACTGAAGTTCTTGAATATTATTTTAGTAAGTTTTCAATCTCATGGCTCATCTACCATGTATATGTAATACATACAAGACTGCAAAAGAATGTGTCTGTAGTACAGACACATGTCCTAGCCCCGCCTGGTCTCAGGGGACCAAGCTATGGACTCAAAAACACACAGGGCTGCAGAACCACCATGTGTCTCCATGAAGGGAGGGCAGTGGGCTGAATCTGAAGCACAGGAACACTATAAAATACCCACCGCAGGAGAAAAAACACTACCAGTTACTCCAAGGAACAGGTCATGCAGCTTTTATTTAGTTTTTACCTTTTTGGTAAGCAGGAGGGTTTTCTTTCAGTCAGACCATTCACATATTTGGACAGTACAGATTGCAATAAATTTGATGGAGATCTTGCAACATTAGAAAACTTTTCTCAATATACATCAATTTAAGCAACAGCTTGTAAGTCAGAGCAGGAGTGCTAGAGTCAAGTCTGCGCACTGCACTCCAGGTATACAAAGCATTGCAGCAGCACAAGAAATGCCCGTGCTGGGCAAAGTACAGTGTGTTTTACATAGTGCAATCACTTTTAGAGGAGAAACTCTAGGAAGGCCACATCTATTTATTTTTTTTTAGTCCTATCAAGTTTATAAATGTGAGCGGGGTAGAAATCAAACCTCTGACTTAATTGACTTTCGTACAGGTAGGTTTTGTGTATAGGCACATGCTTTAGAGAGGAGCTCTGAATCTGCTCTGTAATCACGAGAAAGACATATTGCTTTGTGATTCAGAAAGTGTCATACCATCTCTAACCTTCCTAACACTCTTGGCCAGAGTTGTTCATCCAGCTGTTTATTATAGAGTTCCTAGAATATGCTCTTCCCTCTAGTGTAAATCCCCAGTAGAGAAATTAGGTTGCTATTGACAATGATTACAGTTATTCTACGTACAGTCATTTGACCATACTAGGCATTGCCTCTGAATACTCCAGTCCACAGTGAAAGCTCAAATTGCCAGAGACATGGAGGCTCTTGCTTTTCTGTTACTGTCACTCACCAATATGAAAAAACCCAAGTCAGACAATGAACTGCTACAGCAAAGCATCACCAGTAATATTCATCTAATAAAAATAATAAAATAAAATGGGCACTCATGACACTACATGTCAATTATATGTCACAGTAAGCAAATTTTTTAAAGATACTGCAAAATTATTTGCCCAGTAAAATTCTAAAATGTACACTGTGCTCAATAGTTCAAACTACACGTAAACAAAGAGCAGCTCCCTGCAACAAGGTATAAATCAAAACATCATAGCACCAGCTCCCAGCACCAAGGAGTTGCCCACTGACCAGTTCTAATGTACAATGCAATAGTGCTTGCTGAGGTTTCTGCATCACAAGACCCACAGTGGGACAGCTCTGCCCACTTCTTCCTGATACTCTCTTACCAGCTGTGCACAAATTACATTCTTCCCTATGGAGAGCAAGTCAGACAACAAGATTGTTACAGTATCAGGAAACGGACTGGGGAATGGCACCTGAGGGGAAAGTAGGTACTGCATACCTGAATCTGAATAAATGGGCATGGAGGAAACATGATGTCATCTGAGCAATCCTCTCCTTAAGAGAGCGGATCTGAAAGGAGCTGCAGACTGCAAGAAAAGAAACAAAGCCTCCTGGTGCTGAAAGCCAGGAACACGATATTGCCCACACTAATGATTTTATTTCACCATCAGCAAAGCATTTATCCCCAAAAAGTTGTACACATACTGGTCAGATTATGGAGCAGTGCTATCTTCACACTATTAAAGTTTGTTGTTATAGTGGTCAGATTTGTCTTTTGTCAGAGGAAGAAGGAAAAAATAAAGGAGACAGGCAACAGGGCCACATCACCATACAGCAATTTTACTCCCATGTTAATGCAGATATAATCTTCTTAAGTGCAAATTGCTAGAAACCAACATGACTTGGGCTCTGATAAATGACAGATGATTCAGTTTCTTACAAATATTGACAAGTCTAAATTGTTACAGGTTTCCAAAGCAAGAATAGGTTTACGAACAGGAAGGGAACAAAACATTACCACTACTATTAAAAAAATGTGTCATTTCAAACTTCAAACGCTCTTCAAAAACATATCTAAAAAAGCTTGTTTTCCTTTTTTTTTTTTTTTTTTTATATTTCTGGGAGCTAAGGAGTGTCCATGCAAAACAATTTTGAGAAGAGCAGTGTTCCACCTGGGTACCAACTAGGCTCAACTTTGTCCCAGACAGCTTAGTAAAGTGCTCTCTTGTGCATCCTTTTTGGGGAAGAAGTTCTCATTTGACATTTGGGAGGCCAAGGTTGCCAGCTGGGGAAGGCATAGTCTCGGTCAATCCATGCTGAGGTCAGAAAAGGAGAAAGGAGTGACATTAACAGTACTCTGCCTTTTATAACGCACAGACAACAGGCTGCAAGGAAGGAGCAAGCAGAAGCAGAGGTGGGTGTCAGATGAAACCCTGCCCCTGGGAACCACAGGAGTCAAACACAGGCCTCATCAAGGGAAACATTTTGTTCTCTACAGATAACAAACACCAGCACTACTGGAGAAGACACCAGTTAACAAATCTCTACATACAAAAAATGTGAAAACTAAATATAGTTTTACTTTCTGTGCTGGTGGATTTTTAACAGTTTTTTCTGAAGGACAAAGAGAATCTGAGTAACATTCTTCTGCCTAGTCAAAAAAAAAAAAAAAAGCATCTTGCCCTTGTGTTTTTTATGTTTCACACTTACAAACATTCTAGGGCAGATGATATTTGCTGATAAAACAACTAATGATCAGTTTAAGAGTAAAAATAATATTAATGGGGAAAAGAATTTAAGGCATTTTTTATTTTGGCCAGGAATGATGCATCCTACAGAGTAATCTTCATTTCCCCACTTTTCAGACCACTGCACTTTTTTGTTTTTGTTTTACATGGCACTTTGAAATTTATGTTTTACAACTTAGTCAAGATTTTCAAGTGTTCTCTTCAACACAAATGCCCTCTCTTGTAGCTCAGGTCTACTATCTGATGCCATCGTAGACAATGAATGAACGAGGTGCTCTCTGCTTTCTTGTGTCAGGCTTTTCCACTGTTGAGCTTCTGTGCAGATAAAGACAGACAAACATTGAACATGAACACTGTGAACATGAACACCAGAAAACAAAACAAAAAAATTCCAAAAGGACATTGCTTTCCCCACACAGGCTAAAAGAGTGACTGCTTCAACCTTTCACTCACAGTTCATACAGCACTTCCAGGAGAACTCAGATTCACCTGGATGCTCAGGTGCATGTGCTGCCTCCTGCCAGGGAGCTGCACCTCTCTAGACCAGCTGTTATTGTCTAAGCCTGCAACGTGTGAACACAAAGGCCTGAAGAACCACGTTTCCCATGTTGCAAATGGCTCATAAAAGAGGCATGTAAGATTTTTGCCCAAATAAAGGAAAAAGAAATGCATACCAGAAACCCAAAGGAAAAATTTGCTACATAACAACTGCAGACACGTATAAACCCGAGACCTAAGAAGACCTTACCCTATGAAGACAATTCTGCAAGGGTTGAACACTAAATAATAATGAGAAACCAAACTTGACACTGGAAATATAAAAGTCACTCCTCTGTACTAAGAGGAGATCCCCCCCCTTTATGGAGCTTGAACATTACACAGACAGATCTGACAAGACAGTTCTGTGAGCTCCATGTGGGACTCTCCTTAGTGAACGTTTTCCTCACCAAAGGAAATGGTATCCAAAGGTACTTTAGAACTCTATATTAGCTTCAGTTACTTCAAGGCCTTACTTCCAAGTCCCAGCTTCCCCAGAACCACCCAGTGCTGCAAGCAGAAGGTAAGGCCATCTCTCTGGAGTTCCAGGCCATACAGCCAGGTGCCATCTTTACCAAACAGTGGCTCTTCCAGGTGGCAAGTAAAAAGTCTCACCTTGTAGTCTGGTGAGCAGCAGCTGTATCACAGACAAAGCTTCTGTTCTTATGGATGTGTAGCTTTTGTTTTCTAAGAGATTTAAAGAAAAGAGACAAGAAAACCCAAAACCACGTTGAGAATCAAATGCATTAACCTTACAAAAAGCAGTCACCCCTGTGATCTCCAGACCACTTTTGCTAACACACTTCACCGAGCTCTTGTTTGTGGTGTCAGTCTGCAGTGCCCTCTTAAACACTAGGCACACTTCAATGGCAGAAAGTCAACAACTGGAGGCTGACAAGTCAACTAGATTTTGTGCATTGCCTCTGCCACTACCACAGAGCTGCTGTTCTTACTTATTTCAACAGGGAACAAAATTCTGCCATAGCTGCAGGGTGATGGCAGACAACTGTGTGTAACAGAATGAGTTGTACTGGCTAGAGACCATACAAGTGTTAACAAGCAGGATTAAGTGAGGGTACATAAACCCCATGCCAGCCATCAAGCACAAGCTTGTCACAAAGTTACTTGGTCTCTGAGCTAAAATCTTACTAAGTTGCTACCACTGACAACTTCTGCAACTCTGCCACACAAACCCCCAGAGGACAACGATATTAACAAGTAATTAATCATCC